GAGGACGATGTACCCAGGCTGAGAGTGAAGGGTGCAGGCTGTAGAGGACGATGTACCCAGGCTGAGAGTGAAGGGTGCAGGCTGCAGAGGGCATCCCTCCGTACCCGTGCGCACAGGCCGGTTGGCTCTCGGCGGACCTTCGCTCGCGTGCTCAAACAATAACAAGACATACGTGCGCGGATTTTCTGGACTGGTCCGGTTCCGTGCCCCATGCCACGCTTACATGCGCCTGGTCCGCTTGCAACTGGCATGTTGGCCGAGGAGCCGTTTTTTCGTCCAGCTGTGCGGCTCTCCAGTTGTCGACGGGACTCTTACTGGTCTAATTTCTTAACTACTAGGATGCGGTGGTAGAAGCCGCCATTTGTGGCCTTGCGTGCCATTCCCAATGCTGGCTTTATGAATGCCTCATTTCCACCACTTGGGCAATAGCTCGTGAGGCTGGCTGTGGAATACATATTTAAGTCCGGCACCGCGGTGTCCCGCAATGAAAATGAGTGGTGCAGAACCACTTGGTACACGCTAGTTATTTCACTGGATCTCAATCTTCCGCGATGAGAAAACCTGATGCACACCACACACGACCTCAAGGTTGTGAGGGGTACCTGATTGCCCTCGTGCTCATCTGGCGTTTCGTTTTCCCGTTCCGGTCTAATTGAATAAAGTCTGGGCTTCAGTTACCTGCTGCGTGACATGGGTTGTCAAGCCGACTGCACATTGAGCCTAAAGTGCATTAACTGCTTATCAGTCCTGTCTCAGGTGTTGTGTGCTCAGTTTGAAAGGGGCATCATCAAGGCTGTTTTAATGGATTAGCCCACTCGGGCTACATGGGAATTGTTTGGCTGCACGGGCACTGTCTTTGCTCAAGGCCCTAGAGCGAATTTTTGCTGCGCTCGTAGGGGTTGCGGAATGTCATTATTCGTGAGATATTTCCCTTCCGCACGCGATAATCTTGCGAGCTGTTCCATCAGGCTCATTTGGAAATTATTGGTGCTATTGGTGTTCCTGGTTTCGCTGTAAGGTAAAGAAGACCTTCCCAAATTGATGAGGCCCAAGCTCTGCACTGGTACGGCTTGAGGGTCATGCTTGTGACCACAGCGTTACGGTCTGGGGCGAGCGTAGCAAACGTAAACCTGGCAACGTTTTGATCGTCGTACATTTTCCGGCTCGTAAAATTGCTCCGATTTATTTAACGTCATCATGCGCAGTCAATCGCGTTGAACGGCCTGTCACGTGATCGGCGCCTCTGTCGCCGCGCAGAGCAGTTTGGGAGCCACTATACAACGCTAGGCATAATTTTTGTACGCAAGTATATTTTACGCATGCAAGCGCATGCAACGCATGCTCTGCAAGCGCGACCCGCCGGTCTTCTTTTATTTGTACGTGCCGTCTGGTCGTTAACTGTTAACGGATCAAAGGAATAAATGGCAGCTGACGGTACTTGCCTGCACCCACAGGCGTGACAGAGTGAAAAGTACCAGGGGTTACGTCTTGCTGTTGTAAAGCTTGCCCACCGCTCAGGAATTGTGCAGCCGGCTGCAGACTTGGCTTCACGCTCCACCGGGCGCTGGACATCGCATGCTGTGCCACGGAGTAGCAGTGCACTGTGATGGTGCCCCACGCTGGTTGCAGGCTTGGCTTCACGCTCCACCGGGCGCTGGACATCGCATGCTGTGCCACGGAGTAGCAGTGCACTGTGATGGTGCCCCACGCTGGTTGCAGGCTTGGCTTCACGCTCCACCGGGCGCTGGACATCGCATGCTGTGTCACGGAGTAGCAGTGCACTGTGATGGTGGCCCACGCTGATGTAGTGCACAATGTCAGTATCGCTTTGTATATTTAGGGTGTATTCGCAGGACACCAAGAATATTCTATTCCACGTGACAACACGTATTATCTTTGCCGAGGGTGTTTGCAGCGCGACTCGTTGGTTACATCTTCGAAACTGTCGTGACAATAATTGCACACGCAGACAGTATTTTCGTTTGCAGATACTGTAAGTGCTCCTAAGAATGGAAACGACAAATTACGTTCTTCGTGACGTATACAACTCATTTTCATCACTCGTTGCGGTCCTGGGCATGCAAATTGGCCTCGTAACAATTGAATATGTTGCGTCTTATCTGTTTCACTCCGATTGGGTTGCGAAAAAAAATTCTGCGCATCCGGCAAAGATTCGCCTTCACATCACGTATAATCTTTGTCGTCCGGATCGTCGCGAATACACCCCTAACGACATGTTTTAGAATGAATGCATTCTGTGTGTAAGTAGCATTGATGTTTGCAGGTTTATTGTAAGCCTGAATTGCAGCAATGCGAACATATTGGAGTCAGGTCCATTAGTATGGTACAGTTGGCATGGTTCTGTAACGATCAATTATGTCAACAAATAGGAAAGCGTCGATTGTTGATTGACCCCCCCCCCCCCCCCCCCCACCTAATAACTCCTGCAGGCTGACCGCTACTGAGTAATTCTGAACGGCGACATGACATTAGGTCACACAGCCGCGATCATGACCGAAACATGACCACGAATCGTGACCACGAATCATGACCTGCATTCTGTGGTGCTTTTCGAACTTTTTTTTAGTCGTATAGCCGTGCCGTACCATTGCACCGCGTTCGTGGGTCATATCGCCGTGCCGCACCATTGCACCATGTCCATAAAAGACAAATTAAAGGCGGCGCCAAACAAAATCAGACTCTGTCGTTAGATAGTTCTTTGACGCGTATAATTAAGTGACTTATTGTGCACTGCTCTGTTGTGTGGAAGTGACGACATCTTCGAAAGGTCATGGGGCTCGGTTCGAGAAGCTTAGGTCATTTACAGGCCCTCTTTTGCAAATCTGATGAGCGATGACCTGCGGCTGAAGACAGCTGCGACATACACGGATGGAAAGGATCGTACAGCCGGAAAATCTAGTATGATAGAAGAATTCACGCAACTATCGCACCAGTAGCATCAGGCGATATGCTAGCACGACATTAGTCACTACGTTTAAGTTAGGTAATGCGTCATGGCAGGGTCAAATGCCTCGGCAAGAACTCTGCATGAACCACGCACGTTCTCACCGGGCAAGATAGGTATTGTTTGCTTGCAGTACAATAAATTGCCAGGTGGTAAGGGTTAATAGACGCTCCTATCAGTAATAATATTGAATGGCTGAACCCAATTTGGCGGGCCCAGATCCGCCAAATTAGGATCAGCGGGGACTTACAGCTGTGTGTTGTTGATTGAGCCAGGTTAATTGGAGGAAGCTCCAACGGGCGGCCGGTCCGATCGTTACCCCCGGCCGGGGAGGGGAGGGGGCAGGTTTGGCTCCGGCTCGGCCGACTCCGCCCGAGGCTCGTCCATCACACCCCGCCCCTCACGCTCCGTCACTCACGTCCCACCAGTGCTTCTCCGACCTCGCTCGCCGACCGGGTGCGGCCGGCTGGCGAGCTTGGGCTCCGGCGCCGGCTGTAACGATCGCGGGTGCGTGGCGCCCGCCGTGGCGCCCACCTGCTTGGCCCGGCGCGGGTCGGCGGGAGTGTCCCGCCCGGTGCCCGCGGGCGGTGGGCTCGCGGCACGGACGCGACCACGGGCAGGTCGAGTACGGGACCGACCGCTGATCCTCAGGCGGAGACGGACGGGCGTAATGTGCTCCAGCTGTTTGCTTGTAGTGATTCGAACTGATTGATCTGATTGCGGCTGAAGTAGGGTCCTCAGTGTTTGATGTGTATCTTTGACCTGTGGCTAAATTTGTCGACAGAGTTCGTCGATCGTGGAATTGTTTTTAGATGCCCATACCATATGCTTGATGTCGACGGGAAACTGTGAACCCACGAAGTGTTGGCTGTAAATGACAAGAAACTAAACGTGATCTCTAGGGCAAACAGTGAGCAGTCGACGTAGTACATAATTTGACCATTGCTATGCTTTAAGCAATTATAAATATATTGGAAATTGGTAAATACAAGACAGTGACAATATAGACCTTTACTACACGAGGGCTGGATCCATGCTGGATATTGGCAGCTTTACATCGAGCGCATGTTTCGATCAAAAGCCATCATTAGCAGTGATTATAAGTGAAGTGTACAATTCGAATCACAAATCTGAGAGCATGGCATATATGAAATGCTTCCCTTTGCACCAACATTACAAGCGCAGTCAGTGAATGTGAACGAATTCAAGCAGATTACAACAAAACAAAGAGTCTCCCATTTGTCATCCTCTCGCGAAATATCGCGTGATATTGCGCGGCTGCTCCTAGGGGCTACGAAGTAACAGACGCTGGGCCGAGTGGTCTGGGTGATCCGTACGCAGTGTGACGTGGTATACGTAACGAGTATATGCAGCGCTATGGGATGAGATGCGGGGTGACGGGTCAGTGGATTATTGCTGAATCGCTTGAGCTGATCCAGTTGTCCTTATTCGTTGGTAGGCTTTAAGTATGTGAAAAGTTGAGAGGCTTCCTCTACCTATCTGGTGCCTAGGTTTGTGATTAAAATCGTACGTTTAGCTTTAAAACATCTCGCATGGTGCTTTGCGGCCGAAACTTTGATTCGTTTTATCGTAGCATTTCTAATTTCCTGTCCCTCGCCCGATGATCTTCATTATTCAGCCCTGTCGAAAACAGGTAACGCGGGGCCCCGCGCAATCACCCCAATTGTGAAGCATTACTTCCACCCTTCGTCATCCAATTCTAGTTATGTAATCTCCCTCCGCCGCGAAATCGTGAGCCTTTCGCCGTACACCCAGCGCCAGCGAAGGGCCTGGCACGCCATGCATGGCTCTAAGCGTGAGCCGCCAGCGTGACAACATGGCGTGACATGGCGCGCTGAGCACATGGCGTGATGCGAGGCGCCGTGTGGCGTGATGTCCGCGCGACGCGTCGATGCGCCATGCCGTAACACGACCTGCCATGCGCCTGACATGACGTGCCGTGCCATGACACGACATGGCGCGCCGTGCGCTCGACATGGCACGCGGCGATGACCTGACATCGCTCTGCCGGCAGGTTCCCGGTGGAGGTGGACTCGGGCCTGGTGGACATCATCTCGCCGTCGGCCGACTACTACCCTCCGCGGGAGACGGTGCGACGCACTCTCGACGACCCGCTGGAGCGCGTGCAGTGGCGCACCAAGCAGAATCTCGACTTCGCCTTCCTCATGATGTACTGTCGGCCGCGCGGCCTCTTCTACGTTCAGTTGGAGGACGACATCATGACCAAGCCCGGGTGAGCGCCGTCGGCAGACTGTCGGTGCTGCGCTGGCCCGCCGTCTGTCCGCGTCACTGTGGGGGGAGGGGGGGGGGGGGGGAAGCCACCTGATCGGTGGCCCCCGGTACGGCGTCGCGTGCTTGTACCATGTGTCGTAAAAGGATGCGGCATGCGATTGACCAGGCGACGTGCCAGTGAATTATTTGTGGCCATGGGTTCTCGTCCTGAGAAATTGACAGGGAAGTAATGCGCCTGGCGATGAGAATATGGGAAGTAAGCTGCATGAGATGTAACGAGTGGTAACGCATTCTTGTTTTTCAGTTACGTCACGCGGATGAAGGAATTCGCTCTTCAAAAAATAACGGAGAAAAAGAACTGGTTTCTCCTAGACTTCTGCCAACTGGGCTTTATCGGTAAGATGATTCATTTCCCCATTAGTTCTAGCTATGCGTGGGCAACGCGAAAATATAGATTACCACGATTGAAGTCTCTTAACCAAGCACTTTGTGTTGCGTTAGCCACGTCGTTGTGTCATTTGGTCTGATCCCAGGTCCCCGGACCATTACGACTGTTCATTCCGTAAGCAGTGGCGATCAGCCACGCACAGTTGTCGTTCCACGCCCCATGTCCCGGTCGCGGCACGTGTGGCGCGCGGCCGTCCAACCTGTGCGGTGGAGGCGGACGGGGCCGCGCCGCGCTCGCGCCGCGCTCGCGCCAGCGCCCTGCGCGCACCGGGTTGTAATTCCAGCCGGGCCGGCCCAGCTCGGCCGGGGCCGTGTCGGTGTCGCGCCGGCCGCGGCTGCCATTCACATCGTCGGCTGGGCTGCCACTCCCGCCGCGCGCGGGCCGCACCCTCGGGCCAGTGTTAGCGTCATGGTTTGTGTGTGTTATCAGGCCTGCCGCTGGGGTAGGGTTTTGTGTATCGGTTGCCCTTGCAATATGAGGCTGCGATACGACAGAGGGCAATGTGTTGTGGGTCCAGCCCCGTGCGTCAGCGCCATGGCCGTAGGCAACGCGGAATGTGTTGCCGTACTCGGCAGCGCACCGCCGGCGGGACGGGAGCTCGTATTCCACGAGTGTTAATGTCGCCGCGCGGACCAGACCTGACGTTGACCTGCGCATGAAAAGCGCCGATCAAGCGGCTGTGTACCCACCTGCGTGCTGGCGCTTGCCAGAGCGTGCGTATACGTGAGCGTTTTCACACGTGCTCGGCACACGGGTCCTACCCCTCAGCTGACGGCCATTCATTATCGACGGGGCGGCGCGTATGTCACGCGCTCGTGACGTCAACGCTCTGCGCAGCATCGGACGGTGGTGTCGGATCACCGGCATCCAGCGTGTTCTGTACACAGAACGGCCGGGGTATTGTGGCTGCCAGAAACACTGCCATAGGGAGGGAGAGGAAGGGGAAACGGACCCTCCAGACCCGCATTTTCTACCGAGCCCCGAAGAGGCACGTTCCGTTCGGTTGTGATGGGTGCTGACTGAGCTCTCCCACCCGCTTAAGAGATCCTGGCCGCGCCCCTGGTGACCGTTATCCACCCAGTTGACACGCGGGCCCCGCACCGACCTCCCTGCCGCCGACCGCGACTCTGTACAGGCCGTGTGCTCCTGTCTCCGACTCGGCCTGGGCCTCCTCACGCGTTTGTATTTACGTCTCGACCTCCTCCGCCTTACCGCGGCACGCAGCTGGATCGTGTGTGTCCCGACGCGATCTGCTCCTTGACGCCGGTGACCTCTGCTGCCGCAGGCAAGCTCTTCAAGACCGTGGAGCTGCTGCCCCTGATTCATTTTCTGGTCATGTTTAACAACGATAAGCCGTCCGACTGGCTTCTGATCAACCTGGTACAGACCAAGGTGTGCCGGTTCGACAAGAGCGCGGTGAGTGATGCAGACCTAGGTGTGCCGGTCCGACAAGAGCGCAGTGAGTGAGTGGTACAGACCAAGGTATGCCGGTTCAACAAGAGCATGGTGAGTGAGAGGTGCAGACCAAGGCGTGCCGGTTCGACAAGAGCGCGGTGAGCGAGTGGTGCAGACCAAAGCGTGCCGATTCGACAAGAGCACGGTGAGTGAGCGGTGCAGACCAAGGTGTGCCGGTTCGACAAGAGCACGGTGAGTGAGTGGTGCAGACCAAGATGTGCCAGTTCGACAAGAGCGCGGTGAGCGAGTGGTGCAGACCAAGGTGTGCCGATTCGACAAGAGCACGGTGAGTGAGTGGTGCAGACCAAGGTGTGCCGGTTCGACAAGAGCACGGTGAGTGAGTGGTGCAGACCAAGATGTGCCGGTTCGACAAGAGCGCGGTGTTGCCGCTCGACGACCGCCGGGCGGGCGGCGCTTCGCCATGGGCCACACGACTTCGTTGTTTGTCGAATAAAGGGCCGGACCAAAGGACCATAAGTCGTCGCCTGCTTGTTTTCGTAGCGGATGGTTGTGTGGATAATTTATGACCGTTCCTGGTGTGGTCTGAATTAACGTTGGTAGAAACGGAACAGAAGATGGCGACATTTCCGGGTTTTCAGTTAAACACGAAACCTATGGCTCGTTTACACTTCCTGTTATTCGGTGCCGGACACGGTAGCCGACATGAAGACATTCACCTGTCGTATGTTGCATGGTTTCCGTAGTGTTTGGTCCTTTTTATCGCCTGGCCGCAGTAAAAGACATTTGACAGCAGCAGCCCAAGGACTGTCTCGGTGACCTCGCCTTAGCGCCCGCATACCGTCTCATGGACATCTGGAGACTCGCAGATAATCCCAAGTCCTCGCGTACCAGATGGAGTTGTCGGTAACGTGGTGCCCGCCGTCTTCCAGAAGAAGTGTAAAGAGGAGAAGGACAAAGTGTGGCTGCACTTCAAGCCATCGCTGTTCCAGCACATCGGTACACACTCTTCCCTCAAGGGCAAGGTGCAAAAGCTGAAGGTAAGAGACGCTGAAGCTGACCAGCTTTGGTGGAGACGAATGCCTCACGTCATGGCATTGGCCCCACTGAGAGATAGATTCCGGAAGGGATACTTTTTCGGGTATCCGGTCGTGAGGTACGATTCGTGAAAAGGATGGCGCTGGGGGTAGCGACGTGGTGCGACCTTGATGTTGCTGTTGTGGTTGACCATGCTGTTCTGCGCCGTTGCTCCATGCTCGTTCCATCACCATTTGACAGGCGTTCTCCATCGCAAGATTGTCGTTTTTATAAATATGCTATTGGGGACGTGAATGCCGCCTTTCTCTTTCGGTACGAAACGCCTCAAGTCGGACTGAATAGACTCCGAACTGGTTATCTGCAGACCACTGCGTAGCGCAGACAACTATGTAGTGGGAATAGTGGGAACGGCAGGTATGGACCAGTAGGTTCACAACATCGATGGTGAAGTGGTGTCAAATCACGGATAACAGCGCAGGTGTGCGTCACATCGGCGAACAACGGTGGTGATGTGACTGTCATGATGAGATGTTCATCGAGGAGCACAGCTAACATCCGGCTGCTGGAGCTGGAGGCGTGGCCATGTAGGCCTGCTCGTGCAAACTAATAACGCCCGTAACGTAGAAGTGTACCGAAATATCACAGTACCAAAATAGATCCAGTTTCATGTGCTTTCTCTGTTCTTTATTTCGCTCAACCTGAAACCTTTCAGAGAGCATGAACGACATAGCTCCTTGTACTTCGCCTGCATGGCGCAAGCTGCTTCACCCCCGTGTCAATTAGCAAAGTTGGCTGCCCGTAAATCTGGCCGTGTCATGAATTTTCGCTCACGCTGCTGATTTATGAACCTGTCTCTTGACGCGTGCTGCCTCCCATCAGTCCAGGGCAGTGGACTTTGCGTCGAATCATTCATGAGGACTATTGGAACTGGTATCCAGGTGTCTGAATGCGCCAGGACAGGGGCTGTCGTGGGTTGATGGAGAATTCGGTAGTCGCATTCGTGCTTCGTGCTGTGAGCATAGAGTAATGAAGTTGTGAACGACATCCAACATAGCCAAATGGCACGTTGGGGGGGGGGGGGGGGGGGGCTAGTGTAGTGGTTAACGTATCGGCGTTAACCGCTGCGCATCCGGAAAACCAGAGGTGCGGAATTCGATTACCCACGGTGCCCGCCCTCTCTGCCAGGGTGACAGGCAGGCGATGCCATATAGCCTTAGCAACTGGTTGCGTCGTGAAGTCCCAATGACAACAGCGTCGTGGGATTCGGCCCGGATTTTAGCACGTCCTTACCTTGCCATTGCGGTTGAAACGCCTCGTTCATAACGCCAAACAAGATGGGCACTTCTCTCTAACGGCAGCATGGAAGTAAGTGTGCAAGTCGCTCTGTTCGTGACTAAAAAAGACCACAGTCCTGCAAAATTCTGCAGTCTGTTTTGTGTGCGGGATTCCGCCATATGGTTTTGTACCTTACGCACTTACAGACGTGTTTGTGGTTTTTAAACAGCCCACGGTAGAAAAATATCTCGCACTTTAGTTCTGGTAAACGGCTTTGCCTCAGAATTTGACCATGCCGTTTCCGATGAAAAGGAAAGGGAACGCCATTGTGTAATATCCCTGGCGTTCTCCATCCGTACTTAATGGCCGCAAACGACCGGCGCTGGCGCGATCGGAGCGGTGAATCTTCCGAGCGCGGCACTAGCGACCGGAACACCGTCGTGCTTCAATGGAATCGCCCAGCCACGGCACTGGGGGGCGGAATGGACCGGCCGCCTGTAGGGTCAGGCCGGCGGCCTCAACGGCCGCTCGCCCCTCTCCTTCTCCCTCCCCGGCACATCGCCGCCCAGCCCCTGGCCCCGCCCGCTGTGAGCTGGCTTGTCGGCAGACAGTGGCTGTCGGCGTGTGAGTGATGAGCTGGCCGGCTGGGACGGAACCAGTCGGCGTGGCGTGCCAACAGAGCCGCGCCGTCGCCCTGTCGCCGTGCAGGTGAGCGGTGGCGAGCCGCTAAAGGCCGCGGGATGAGGCGCCGGCTGGGCGGGCCGCTCCGTGATCTGCCGTACATGGCCACGGCCTGCGGCGCCGCGCCCCTCCAGTGGCGTCCCGTCACCGTCGCGTGGTGGTGTTGCGCGGCTCGGCCCCGCCCTGGCGTGACAGGCGATGCTTCCCACTGGGCCTGAGGCAAGCCGCGCCGGCTCCTCATTAGGCTGATGGGCCACTGCGGCACGGCCGGCACGCGGTGGAGGCCGCGCGTGTGCCCGCCGCCGCTGCAGACTGTAACCCGTCGCCGCTGAGGACTTAGCCTCTGTCAATGCAAACTAACTCGCCGCCGCTGCGGGCTAACCCGCCGCCGCTGCAGGCTAACCCGTCGCCGCTGCGGGCTAACCCGCCGCCGCTGTGGGCTAACCTGCCGCCGCTGCGGGCTAACCCGCCGTCCCGCGGACTGTAACCCACCGCCGCTGCGGACTAACCTGCCGCCGCTGCCGACTAACCCGCCGCCACTGCCGACTGACCCGCCGCCGCTGCAGACCGCTCCCACCGCCGCCGCCGACTGTAACCCGCCGCCGCTGCAGACTGTAACCCACCCCCGCTGCGGACCAACCCGCCGCCGCTGCCTATCCGACGCCGCTAGCTTGCGCGGGCCCGACACCGGATGGGAACGATAGAGCACTGCAGCTTTATGACAGCGTAGCGCCGGTGATTGGAGTCGGCCAGATGTCGCTATCCGCTGGACCGGAGGATTTCTAACCTCCGCTCAGGCCTGTTCAACGTTGGACATCGACCATCGGCCGTGACGCGGGTGGCCGCGGATGGTGGGCGGTTAGTGGACTGGGACATGCGACGCTTCTTGCCATTATGTACTAGGGACAGAGTTTCAGTAAGTTATGGTATGCTGAGACCCCGTGTGACCTACACCGCACGGTCCATACAGTCTGCATTGCTCGCCGGTGTCTGGACGACGAGCGTCGAGGCTTAGCGCGATCCTGGCCGTCGGTAGCGTCCCCAGCTGACTGTTGGCTGCTGCGCGCTGCCGCTTGGCTTCAGCTATGGTTGACCCGCGCTGCGCGCCTGAACTGCTGTCCTGTGCCCCGCTAACTGCTCGCTTGATGTAGCACTGGCAGCGGCTGCGCGCTCTTCGTGCGTCATACAGTGAGTGATCTGGTGTGCGCGTGTGTGTGCACACTGCACGATCGGTGACTGCTGCGGTCACTGCGGCGCCTCTTCTGCCGGGTCGGCCGCGAACGGTCCTGGGACCTGTCGCGGTGTGTACCGGCGAGGCGCGCAGCGTCCGCGGTCCTGCGGCGGACCAGCGCAGTCCGCTCCGCCGCAGCCGCGCCGGCTCGCGACCCCACGCGGCGCGCCGGTGGCGGCCGGCGGCGGCCGCGCCCGACCCGAGCCGCTGAGTCCAGCGCGCTGACCGGCTCTGTGTGACCCAGGACTCGTGGGCCGGCGGAGAGCGCCAGCAGTGGTCGCCGGAGAACCCGCGCTGGGTCGCCAAGCACCGCTCCCGCCCCACGGTGACTGTCCCGGGCATGTGCTGCGGCAGCTGGTCTGCGACGCCGCCGCTCCCCTGCGCATTTGGTTCAGGACGACACTAGACGTGTGTGTGCCCACGTGCCGGCGTGCGTCAGACTGGTCTGCAGAGTCGGCGCCGGCACGGACTCGGCCGGCCGCCGAGCGGCACTGACGCTGCCAGCATGCACGTGCTCTGCCCCCGCCGCGGACGGTGCCCGGCGGTCCCTCAGGCCAGAGAGGGCTACCGTTGCTGACACCAGCATGTTGGCACTCGCGAGGAGATTTGCAGTGGTCGGTGACCGTGAAGTGAGGCGTCCGGCATCGGCCTGCGTGGTGACCTCTGCTGATGTACACGGCGCGGGTGTCGTCGTGACCGGCAGACTTGTCCCGTGCCGAGACCCGGCGCGCTTGTGCCTGCGTCACCCGCACCCTCCAAGTGTACACGTTTGCTGCCGGCACGTCTCTGCTGTGTGGTGATGACGTTGCAAGACCGTGCACGTACGCAATGCGTGCAGTTGTGTATCCTATACGCCACACTGACGTTTGCTCTCGGGCGTCATTTGGAATGACGTCTGTCTGGTGCGCTGATGTTGGATGGCAACTGTATCGTGATTTTATATTGTTTTCATGCTTTGTATTATTTTCTATTCAGGAAAGATATCGTTTGGAAAGGCGTGGAGTATTTATCCATACTCTTGTTTGGAATCCCGTTCCGAGCTTAATTTTACTCTGCTCTCGCGATTAGTCCGCTCATATTTTGGTAGGGCTTTTAGGACACAGCCTTGCACCATTTGTTGAAAAACACATACTAGACCAGACATGCCCTTCCGCAAAATAAGTTTGGGAATAGGATGGGGGTTGAGCAGGAAAAATATCGAAACGTATCCCAAAATGCGGCATTTTCTCTCGGATTCCGCCTGCCTTTCTTCTCAAAGTAGGGAGGAGCTGGGGAGGGGGCGGGGGGACGAGGGCGGAGGGCAATAGCCCCAGCTGAATAGGAAACGGTACCATGCGACACGCCGCAAACGACAGTTAGCCCCAGCTGATGGTGATGATTCGGGGCTTTTGGGCGCATCAACTGCAGTAGGTCATGCAGCGCCCATTACGCTCAGTTTCATGGGTCTCACAGTCACGATATGCGGGACTACCGGGTATGACCACGGTCATTTCTGCTCCGCCCAACTACTCATATTTGAACGATCACTTCATTGTTGAACACCATCTGTATCCAGGCGATGCGGTGTGGTATGCCGCTGTACGCCGCGCGACGACCGAAGTCAGCTGGGGTCGGTGTCACGGTACCGCACCTGTTAGCCCCCCCCCCCCCCCTCCCACTCATGTTTCCTGGCGTTTGATCTACTTCTGTTGGTGCCGTGACCCCGATCTGACCTGCATTTGCGCGGACGAGTCCTTTCGTGTTCGCCAAGTCGCGCCCCTGCCGACATAGACCGACGCTGAGCAGTACTCTCTGGTCACCACCGGCTGCGCGATTAGCCGCCCCGCGCCGCCGGCCGTGTCGGTCGGAACGGTCAGCTTACCCTGCGCTCTCCGCCAGCACCCAGTCATCGTCCTAAAGCACGCGCCTCTCTCTGCCCGGCGCTGGAATCCGCCGTGCCGTAGCCCGGCAGGGCGCGCGCACGCGCGCGCGCACCGGCGGACTCGTGCGGACTTTTGACGGCCGCTGTTGGCCGGCTCGTGGCGCGCGGCGCCGAATGGCCTCTGGCGTCGGCACGGCGTTCGGCGGCGAGCTCCGCGCACTCTGCCGGAGGCCGGGGCTGCCTCTCAGCGAGTTCCGGCTCCCGGAGGGGGCACTGCCCTGCGGCTGGGAGACCAACCGCCGGTCACCTGGCGTGCCTGCCGGTGCCGCCAGCCGGCCCGACGCACGCACAGGGGAGGAAAGCCGACCTTGGCGCGTGCCACCCGCCCCGCCTCGGCCCGCTGGCGTGGCGGTGAAACGGCCGCACGCGCGCCGGCACGGTGCACCCGTGAGCGCCCCTCGCTCCGGCACGCCACCGACGGTCGTTTCCTGCGTCCTGCCCGGCAGCCACTACGTGTCCGCGTGCAATACCACCGCGCCAGAGTTTTGTTTAATTATTTCCTTTTGTTCCGGCGCTGCCTGATGTGGGAAAATCGATGCCGTTCGCAAAATGTCAGGGAGGTGTAATGTGAGGCGAAATTCCGGCGGGCTGGACCTTGGCGAGCTCTGGAGCCCACGCTTCACTGGCAGGGTTTGTGCATGACCAGCGCGTAAAGAGCGGTCTCAGCGAAGCACGGACCCTCCGCATTCGGTCAGAGTCGTCACGTCGCGCCAATGTGCTACCTCGCTGCCTAACGGGTCAGTGATGTATGTGAACATCAGTCCAGGAGCGCGTACTCGACTGATTTCCGAGCTGATCCTCGGCGCGTGTGTGGCGGCTTGGTCTGTCGTGGTCGGCTCTCCGCGTTCATCGCAGAGGTGCCGACCCTCCCTAGGTACCTGAGTCCGGTCCCAGCCCGCCCTCAGCTGCCGCGGCTGCAGACGCCGCTCGCCACCGTCCCACTGCTCCACGCTGCCCCGCCACCAGCGGCGACTGCCTGCACCTCGGACCGCGGCCGGAGCCGACACTGACTCGTCGGCTCCGTCTGCCTGCAGGACAAGCAGTTCGGCAAGGTGCAGATGTTCGTGACGCACGTTAACCCGCCGGCGCGCATCGTGTGCGACATGAAGCCGCATAAGCAGTATACGCTGGAGGTAGGCGCCTCGCTCCGGCGGGGGTCGGCGATGGTCAGACAGCCGGTGACCGGGGCTGTCCGAGGTCCCGGACGGACGGTAATGTCAGGGCGGTCCGTTTCCTCGCTGCGGAATGCGTTTCCGGCGCCGGGTGCACTGCGGCACATATCCATGAAATGGCATGTATGGGGTTGATATGGAATAGTGAATGGCAGCCGTTTTATTTGGCATTCGTCCTGACGGTGTATCTGCCGTGCATCTGACGCTTGCAGTGGTGGCTCTTTTACTTAAAAGGTGACGTCAACTACTAGCACAACGGAAGTATGTGCTTCGAGCAGTGAAGGGCGTCGCTGACGTGAGGCTCGATTCGCAGCGTGCCTACAAGGGCGAGACGTACTTCTGGGGCCTGCTGCCCCAGCCAGGGGACCACCTGGAGTTCCATCTGACGCCGCCGGTCCGGCTGACCGGGTGAGAGTGCCGAGAGTGCCGAGAGTGCCGGCGGGCCCAAGCCTTGAAGGGCTGCGATGGCGGTCCGAACCAGAGAGTGGACTACAGGAGGCAGAGGCCAATCGGCTGCGGCCGCCCAGTATCAGGGTCCGCTCGAACTCGTGTGTTTGGTTATGCTGCGCGCACGCGCTGGTTAAACTCGCGAACGTGTTGGACATTGTAGGCGGATGCTGCGACTTACTGCGGTATTGTCCCAAACCATTCGCTGTTCACTTTTGGTTAGGGGTGTTTGTCCAATGTCTGGTTGTGCTTTTTCAGCTTCTACTTCCAAAGTGGAAATCTGGAGCATCCATCGGACCGGTTCTATAACACCACCGTCGAAATCATACCCGAGTTCCGACCCGAGGAGCTTCTGAAAGAGTACAAAACCACGCCGGATGGCTATGTGATAGTGGGTAAGTCTCCCATCGTTCCTACGCCCAATCTCCGACCGCCAGTTGAGGTCGGCGCAGGCCTCTCCTGCGGGACCGGTGAGCGCCACGGCCCAGCCGGGCGGCGGCCGGGAGCGGCGCCTCGCGCGCCTCACCACACAGGTCGGCTCCTGGGCCGGGTGCAATCGCCGCTGCGGCCGCCTTAGCGGACGTGACGGCGCCAGACCGGACGCGTCGGCCGCGCTCGCGGTGGCGTGCCGGGCTCGGCGCCTCCGCAGGCCGTCGTTGTGGGGCTGGCAGCGCGGCCCGTCGGATGTGTATGGCCGTGTCGCCGCAACGGCGGGCGCTGTTGTCGGCGCGCCGCCGATTCGTGTTTTGACGCCCTTGACGTGCGGCGCCGGGGCCCGCCGGCCTGCCGGCGCCCACTTGCCGACCGCTGACCCGACACCCCCGCCCCGCAGGGCATTTCAACGACCAGGGCGTGGCGGCGGGCGAGCTGGCGGCCGGCTGGGGTCTGACCAAGTCCGCCCGGCTAGCCGTGCAGGCCGAGAGCGACAACTGGGCCATCCTGAGCGAGGTGAGGGGCGGGGCGGGGCGGGGCGGGGCGGGGCGGGGCGGGGCGGGGCGGGCGGGGCGGAGCGGCGGGGCGCGGCGCGGCACGCGCTGACGTGGTGCTGTGCTGCGGTTGTGATGCGGCGTCACGGCCTGCGCCTGTGGTTGGGAATGGTGAGGATTACGGTCATCAATGCGGGTGTTTTGCTGAAAACAGCGGAAGCCCTTTGAGGATGCGTGAATCAGAAGGACGGCCTCACGTGTGATCAAAGCCCAAGGGTACGGTTAGCGAGCGCTTCCGCTGCGCGGACGCCTCGCGTACCCCGCCAGCGGACCGGTCCGTCTGTGACGTCATGGCCCGTCCGCAGATCCACCTGAAGACGAGCTAGTGCCGGCTGAGGTCGAGTGCAGCTCGTCAGCCTCCGGACATCCTCCCGTTCCGACTGCTCAAGCGGCGCGGCCCGCCGCCGGCCGCGCCCGTCCCTGCGCGGCGGTCCTGGGCGAGGCCCGCTGTCGGTCAGGCGGCTGGGCCGAGCCGCGGCGCCGCGGAGGGCGGCGCGCGAGCGGAGGTGGCGGCCGCCCCCAGCCGCCGCACCCGTGATAAGCAGTGCTGTACGGCGCCAACAGTGCCCGCGGCCGATCCGCGGCTCGGGCGGCGGTGTTTGTACTTAGACTGGCCGTCGTCAGTGCTCGGCGAAGCTGTTCGTTCTCATACATGTTTGAAAGTGCCATGGCGCCTGCGTGCGTGGTGTGTGTGTGTGCGCTCGCGCGTGAGTGTGTGGAGCCGGTGGCTGGGCGGGGCTGTGGCCTGGTCCGTGATATGGGAGACTGAAGACAGCCCGTACGCTCTAGGAGCGACGCCGCGGTCAGTGGTCAGTGGCCGCTGACGCAGCCCAACACGAGCTGTCTGTGATCTAAACTAGACTAGCATGAAGGCAATCGCCCCACTGGCCGGCGCTTTCGGAAGTCAATCGTTGACGGAGTGCGACTGTTGGGACTGTTCACGGTTTGTCGGTAGGTAGCTTTGTTAACGCCAGTCGTCGGTGGCGCCGCTGCTGGCTTACATGTATATTCTATGGGTCGCGTGGCAATAGTGGGGCACCTTAGTGTTGCCGCCCTCGGCGGAGCTCCGACCATCTGTCTGTCTGTCTGTCTGTCTGTGAGTCCGACACATCACCACAGGAGTGGCGGGCGCCATGTTTGCCCTCCGGGCATCTATCAGTTTTATGCTGCTTGCTTCTTTGCTTGCAACGGCTATTGTCTCGGCAGTTGGCGTGGCGAGTCCGGTCCGTGCGTAATCGGCCAAGCGATTTTACGTGCAATGGCGGCGCTGCTGCCAGGTATCGGCGAGCTTAATTCCGTTGCTAACTTCCAGCGGCGGCCGGTTTGTCTGAACGCTGTGACTCATCGGTGATCATTTATTAATCAGATCGTGCATAGCGCCCCGCCGGTTGCTGCAGTTCGGCGCCGCCGTGTTTCCGTTCGCCCGCTTGTTAGTGCTTCACCGTGTTGGTACGGATCAGCGGCGAAGCCCGTTCGTATGTTGTAAATTGTCCGCCGGCGTCGGCCGTGTGGTGCCGCGGCTGGCGGCGCGTGAGCGCGGCCGACTGCGGTGCTCGCAGCCGACGGGATCGCGTGCCGCGCCGCTGGACGCCGGTCTGGGAGCCCGTCAGCTGGCGGCGGACGCCCGACCGCCAGGCGGCCCCCCTCGGCGCGGCTCGGCGGCGGCTCCGGCTAGACCCAGGGCCGGATCGGGAGCCGGATCCGTGCCCAGGACCGGAGCCGGAACCGGATCCGGTCTCGGGTCCGGTCCCGGGTCCAGTCCTTGAGCCGGGGTTGGGAGTTGGGTACGCAAAGGACCGGCGCCAATTGGAATGGGATGGGGGCTGTCTGAACTGGAGACGCGGTGCATTGCCGGGCTGTTCCGTACGGAGGTCTGGAAGCAATGTGAGCCCGATGTCTCAGCGTAATGTCGGATCATTCCGTACAGTCCACACGGCGAGGTCTTTCGCTCGGTACTTAAGTTGCCTGCGAATGTGGTGAGCGGGTATGTAGCCGATCACGGCGGCAAAGCGGACAATGGTAACATGTTTAATGCAATCAGCTGCCATTGACAGCGCGACGTGAACGCATCCTGATGTTTGCCGGAGTTATGTTCAAATAACACTTATCGCGAATGGTTGTGGCGAGAGATAGGGTCACGTGTTTGCACGCATCTCGCGCGTGCTAACAAGTATGCCAACTTGTCTGGAGAGTTTTAGCGGGTCTGACGACAAGGCGTTTGTTTTTAGTTACAAAATTCGCTGAGCCCGAAAGCAAAGTTGCTACTCAGTGGCCGTTGTGACATGATGCCGCTAGCGAGCTGTTTGTAAGGAGCAGACATGAGTACGCGTGCTTCAAACCTGGTGCGTGCAGGCGTGGTCGAAGTCTGTTCCAGTGTCCCGTGCTCGCTGGCCCGGTGTGTGGGACGCACAGCCGGTCGTGGTTTGTCGTCTGTCCCGTTGTTCCTGCCTCGGCGTGCCTCAAATACAGTGGCTTTATTTATTCTCCCGGCGTGTGGCTGGACAGCGCGCGGACGCGGCGGACTCCGTGGCTCCGTGGACCACGCGCACGGCTGCTGACGACCCAGCGCCTCGTTTAGGCCAACAGGAAATGTACGCTTGGGAGCACACAACTTTTTTCATTAGGATATTTTGGCGGTCACTTATGGGACTGAGTGAGGCGGGCGGTCAGCAGCGTTTCCAGTGTTTATATATAATAGCTCACGAAATGTACGTAACCTCTGAACGATGGTAATAGTCCACAAAATGTGCGTAACCTCTGGATGATGCTAATAGTCCACCAAATGTACCTAACCTCTGGACAATGCTATCAGCCGTGCGCCATTTGCAGTTCAGCGAGATCATGGCCCATGTAGTTGACGTCATCATATGACAAATACTTGTAACACGATCGACTCAGTAACACTGCAGCTCACGTTACGTCTTTATATTATCAACAAATTGATGATTAGAAAGTGAAGGAGCAGTGTGGATGCCGCAGGGCGCGGCAGTCATGGCGCATTCAAGAGCCGTGCGAACACGACCCAGCCCGGTTCGTTCCACAATGACACAATGTACATAAATACAGCGTTCACCTTGTCCTTTGACCATATTTTCTATCTACGAACATGCGAAGACCTCATTACGAGCATGCGACCACAAGCAACGGCATGACAAGCGAAATAACGAAAGCGAAATAACCGATCACAGATGTTAGTTAAATATGGGAGGGTCACTCATGGACGATTTGTTGAAAATACGACGGCCTTATCTGGACGCGAATGGTGTATGGCTGTTGGCAACAACCACTCCATCTTTTATCCGCAATATCCCACATATTTCTCCACTCAATATCACACAGCGTTCGTCTTACAATGCCTACGCAATCAACGGAAATGTTTTGTTACAGCATGCAGATCATCTCCAGTGCGAACTCCAAACGCATCTCCAGCAAAGCGCCCATCCGGCCGAGAAAGCACGAAAATCACATATGCCACAACACCGTGGACAAGCGCCGACGCCGCCGCCAGCTCGACCCCCGCGGGAGCAGCCGCGACCTCACACGGCGCGACGCAAGCACGGAGCGGCCGGGAATAGGTGGCTCAGACGGCGACCGCGCAGTGGCCCGGCGCGATGTGCATCGGTCTGCGGCGACGGCGGCCGTTGGCGCCGCCGAGGTTCACACCCTGCAGGCCCCGCCACAAGGGCATGGTCGGCTCGCCGTGCCCCAGTCGGGCGTGGTCGGTATGACGCCCTGTCCCCCAGAACTGGAGCCAGCTGGTTGGCCCTAGGAGACCGCTCCGACCGCACGGGGTCAGGTGGTGCTCGCGGAGACGGAGACGGCCGCTGGGGACAGACGCTGGACGGAGCGCTAGACGGCCGTCTCGTCCGGACCGCAGTTGGGTTGGGGCCGACCGAGCACCTACTGGCGGTTCTCAGCAGACTCGCACTCCATTCTCAGTCTGCAACACCGTCATCACGCGGTCAGCATAGTCGACCTATTGACCGACGACAGGCGTACAACCGACACTCGCAGCATGTGAAGACAACCGGCACACGGTCCACACAATAAGCGGGCGGCTCGGCCGTAACATAATCAACAGCCCGGTCTGTCAACACAGCCGGCGCGCCGTTAAGGTCTCTCGTCTGTCAACGCAGCTGGCACGTGACTGGCCCGCCAATACGAACGTCACGCTGTCAGTGAAGCAGAAATGAACAAATGCACGCATCGTCAAAAGCGACAAGACTTCGAATTGCAGACGAGAACGGGGGGAGGGAGCGCCGTGTCACCGGACAAGTACGGTCAGCCCATTCATTCTGGATACGGCGGCATACATTAACTGTGCATCAGGTGATACGGTATGCTTAGGTGGGTCCAAAAGGAGACAAATTGAGCCTTCCGCCAGGACATCACAAACTTGTCAGTCATCAATGGCCGCCATTATTTCTATCAAGGACAACAAACAATTAACGTAAAATAAATGGGCTAGGACCCATTTAGCCATTGATGAGCGAATAAACGGCCCACCACGTGCCGAGCAAAGACCGAAATCCATAGGTCTACATAATGAGAACGCCAATCCGTTCTGCGTGAGGCCGGGTGCGGCGGCCGCCGCCGTCCGCGCCCGACACGTCGCCGCCGCCCGATACGGAGCGGTCGCAGCCGGCCGTCCTCACGTGTCCTGCTCGGCGTCCATGGCCTGTCGGAGCGCGCGTCTCTGCTCGGATATCTCCAGCAGCGTGCTGACCAGCTCGCGCTCCCGCTCCACGTCAACGTCCGACTTCAGGGCCTCTGCGGCGAGTGGTGGCGGGTGGCGTCACGACCGGCAGGCACGGGGCAGGCGGCGGCACGCGGGCGAGCGGGTCAGTCGAGCGGCGCGCGGCCAACCCGACAGGGCTCGCCGGCGGGGTGCGTCGAACACGATCGAATTCATTACGTTAATGTGCTCCTCAAGAGGGACGTGGACACAACGTAGCCGTTAACAGCGCTTCCTATCACCCGTGTAGACAAGGAGCTGCCGTCTGAAATAAACATGTTCGCGGGTACAGGCACTTGCCTAATTGGACATACTCGTCATCGGCGCACACTAGCGGGACCGGCCCGGTCTTAACATGCACCACAGGCGCGACATTCCGCCAGTGCCACCCTGAGTCTCCGAAAAACGTGCCTGCTAGAACTGACTGTTCCTGGGGCAACTCCTCTTGACCTGGTGTACGGGTCAGGAGGAGTTGCCCCGGGAACAGTCAGTACAAGCGGGAGGCTTGGTAGCACATCTATCCCTTTCGGGACCTCTGTGGTATCCAGCCGCCCTGATCTGCCCAATGACGACCACACGAACGGCGAGCCCCTGAGCCCAGAACGGCATGGGGGAGGGGGGAGACACATGGGGAGCGGGGAAAGGAGGGAGGGCGGGGCGAGGGACGGGGAACGAGGGGGGACGTACCGGGCGCGGCCATGCGCTCGCGTAGTTCCATCTGCAGCCGGTCGTGCTTGTCCTCCAGCTGGAGCTCGCGCAGCTGCAACTGCAGCAGCTGGTCGCGCCGCACCAGCATACTGCGCTCGTGCACCAGGCCGAACCACTGGCGCATCAGGACGGCGTCGTCGCTGGGGTCGGTGTCCTCGCCCCCGCCGCCGTCACCGCCTGAGGCGAAGTCCCCGCCAGTCAACGGCGGGTCGTGGCCGGGCTGGAGTGGGGTACGGGTAGGGTACGCAGCCACACTTCACATTGCTCGGAAGTCGAAATAGCGCAGTCTATTAAGCGTTTCGACGAGAACATAAGTGATCAGCGGCACATCAGTACAGGCCTCAACATCAAATAAGCACCGAGTGCGCCTGAATCTCAGCAAGACACTCAGCTCCGACCCGAAGCGTTTGCACTGGCTGCAAAATTTGGGTGCAATAATACAGACGATCGGTATTAATAGGCAACGGGGATAGTGGATTGGTGCCCGTGCTAGAAAGCTCGGGGCTCTGCCGATACCAGAATATCAGACAATCCTGGCCTGTGATGAACGTATCGATGGCCAGATATTAGCGTCAGTATCAGTGAGACTTCATCGGTTCTGTACCGGTCCTCAAGGCATTCAGACCGTCGCCGAGACGGTGCTGGTACAGGCATAGCGCCTACGCTGCTATGCTCCATTACCCGGGCGTTCACCCCTGATGGCCTTCTCGACGGAGGCGCCGCGCTGCTCAAGCTCCTGCTGCCGCACCTCCACCTCCCCCAGCTCCCGTTGTAGCTCCTGCGCGCGCTGCTGCCTGCCGGCCCCGCAAACGGCAGTGGGCTCCCAAGAACGCGTCGTGGTGAAACATCAGGCACACCACAGCTGACTTAAACCGTCAGCAAGTCGTTAGACGCAGCGCCGAACCTTTCCGCATAGTGTCCGGGAGGTGTAACACTTCAACATTCCGTTTCATACTGCTCAACTGTAACTTGAACTGTTTTGAATAACACAGCTTAAACAATCGGCTTGAAAGCACTCATAGCCTTCGACTCTGCCTATTCATGGATAAACTTGCAAGTGAAGCTTCACTTGACGAATTGCCCTAGACAGGCCACCTTGGAATACTGGGGGGGGGGGGGGGGGGCAATAAGAATCGTTTTTGTGCAATATCTTTTTGATGAGAAACGCTGCCCGCATGCACGAAATAAAAGCACACGGAAATATTTGACAGCCCGTACGAAACACTGGTTACCCGAGTATGCACACATCACACACACACACGTTCTGTTCCTGAGTTATGCACTTCCTTCTGCAGAAAAGCGTCGGCAAGACGACCGGCGATAGCCATCCATAACCGCGCAGGCGGCAGGCGGCGGGCCCAAGTCCGCCCACGCCACCCTGCCGTCGCGCCGGCAGCATCACCTACCGGCGGATCTCGGATTGCCTGGCGGCGCGGCCGGACCGGGAGCGGCGGGACAGCGTGCCCTCCGGCGAGGTGCGGCCGCCGGCCGGCGGGCGGGGCTCCGGCGGCGGCGCGTCTGCGACATACGGACACCGGGTCTGGAGAGCCAGCCAGCCACAGGGCGGGTCTGAGCCGACGCCGGCAGCGTCTGGCTGCCACCGAGCGAGACTGCTGCCGCTCTGAGGCGACCGCGACAGGCGTACGCCAAGGCTGCTGGCGGCCTGGACGGAGCTTGACATCGTTGCGAGCGTTGTTTGAATGGGCGTCTTCGGAGTCATGCTCAAGGGGTTATGCGAGAGCGTAAGTCTTGCCCCTTTTCTTTAAACTTATTGCCATTGGAAAACCGCAGTAGTTGCGCTAAGGCGCCGTAAAAGAGAATCTTGCGAATGCAAGCTTCCCAGGCCTTTGATTACGCAGTGTAGGATGCATGTGGCGCATACATTACCCGCAGCGCATAGCCAAGTACTGCCACCCATCATGCAGGTGGCCACGCGCACGAACAATTTATCGCTGACGTCATGCCACTAGCAACCATGCGTGTAGCAATGTAATCAACTACGAGTGGCCGAACAGTAATGGGGATTAGCAGCCTAGCTCGACGATCAAAGCCGACCACAGCGCCGACTAGTTTTTGCGAAAGGCGACATTGCAATGAATTTAACGCCTAAAGCAGTGCATTTCGACCTTACTGAAATATATGGTTAGATGACATGTATGCAGACAAAGCGTGCTAACCAACGCATTGCACGTTTGGAAACATTCCGCGACATGCTTGACATACCTCATCATGAAACACTCAATCCAAGATGTTTTATCTCAACCATATCACGGATCTGCTATCATTCACGTTACACAGTGGCAAAAGGAAAATCAATTAATCTACTATGGTTTTCCCAAAGATCATCAACTTGGCAATGATCTTGAGATTTTTTATCGTTCGGTCATCTCCATTACCAAAAAATTGCGGAAGTATTTATATCAAATGGATCGAGAGGGATTTCACGTTCCAAGCGTGAGTTGGGAAGCACGCATTCGATCAGCATCGAATTTCAACCAGATCCAATTTGTTCCGCCGCAGAGCGAGCCGACTCCGAGCCTGTTCGCTCAGATGGATCAGCCGCATGATTCTCTCCCCAGCGCCGTCACCACTGGGCGAGCGCGCTCCACGCCGCAGACGCCGCCGCCGGGCGCTCCGTCGGCAGCGGCGGGTCCGTTACCTGCACTCCTGACCGGGGTCGGCGGGACGACGACCGCAGAAGAGTCGGCGGCGGCCGGTGAGGCGGACGGCGAGCCCGACAGCTTCTTGTCCTGCACGCAGAACGCTGAGTGACAGGCGAGCAGAGGAGGCGTGACAGTTAAACCCGCTGTGGGTAACGGGTTTCGCCTGGTGTTTGATCGAGACGTGAGGTGGGTGGGGAGCGCCTCCGCCAGCTGGTGCGATGAGGCTGGGGTCTACAGCCTGGACTGATCCGCCGATGAGCAGCCCCGAGAGCAGACCAGCACAACGCCGAGGTCCGCCGCGGCGGGGTGCGTTCCCGTGAAGCGCATCAAAGCACGTGTGATCGTGACCGGTTCAATCCGCCACCCGCGACACCGCAGGCAGCCGCCGGCATCGCCCACTCGGCGTCCGAACCCGGCCACACCGCCTCTGACAACACATCGGCCCTGCTGCCGAGCGCGGCCGCTACCGACCTTGCCCCTCCTGAAGCGCATGCCGAGCCGATCCCTGAGCGGCGTGGCTCGGACGACCGGCGCCGGCGGGCTGGCCGAGGTCACGGCTCGCTCCGGCTCCGGCGGACTGGCGGTCGGCTCCTTCTTGTCAGCCGGTCGGAACAGGTCTGCAAGCACGGGTCGGCGATGGTCAACGCGGTCGGACGGCGACGGTGCGGGCCAGAACCATGGGCCCCGTCGTCACAGAATACAAGGCACGTAAATATTTGGACATTACCCGTGTGATAGACGTGAGGTTAAATCTCGCGAACGCTGGGTATAACCAAGGCCCTACAACAAGGTATGACTGTGATATCAAGGCGTCACATAATGAGTAATTGAATAATGGCATAGTTCTTTTTAAATATTGGCGCGGTTGGCGTATGACCTACGGCAGTGGCATAATGTCGAACTGCATCCCTCAGCAACTGCATGGAGGCATTGAGGGGAAAAATACCTTGCGAATATATTGATTCTCTCAGCCTTTGAAGCGTGACGAACTCAGCGCAACATTGCTCCTAGGGCACAAAAATTTCAACCTCTGCGGGGTTTTCCTGCCGTAAAAATAATCACATTACGAGCAGCGCCGCATCTCACGGCTTTTGACGGAAATGACCACACGAACCTGCGCATGATTTGAAATGGCAGGAATATTTTCTCCGCGCTAGCAAGTCATTGGAAAGACAGAGCCAACTTCAGTCGATCGTGCCGATCCAAAACCTGTCACAGCTTACTCAACGCAAAATATTTGGTCACTGATCTCAAATATCATGACCATTAGTCTAGCCCTACAACCGAGGCATCGTCGGACAAGCCGCCAGCCCGGCGAACTCACCAGAGATCGCCTGTATGATGCTGCGCCGCCGCTCCCGCTTCTTCTTCATGTCGGACGGCGCGGCTTTAGCAGTGGGCGTGGTCTGCTCGCTGGCGCGCCCTGGTGACGGCGCCTCACCCGCCGCAGGCTTCGCCTCCGGCCCTGGCGTGTCGGCTGCCGTCTCCGCATGTGCTGGCTCGTGTGCCGACGGCCGGCCATCCGCCGGCTGCGGCTCTGGAGCGGACGGTTCGCCGCCGGTCTCGGCCGGCTTCGGCCCCGGACCTGGAGGAGCCGGCCGGTGACCGCCGCTACCCTCTGGAGACGCCTCGAGAGCCGCCGCACCAGGCGTCGACACCGCGGCGGAGGTGACGAGCTGCGCCTCGGGGCCGGCAGGACCGGACGGTCCGGTCTCGGCCTTCTCGGGCGTCTGGCTGCGCTCTGAGGAGGGCTGCCTCCGCTCCTGACCGATCTGCACCGCCGCAGGGGCTGCCGCCTGCCTCTCCGGCGTGGTCTGCAGCTGCGGCCGGGATCCTCGATCGGGCGACGTCAGCACCTCGGGCTTCGAGGTCTTCGGCGGCAGCGACGCCGCCTCCGCACCAGTCATCGACTCCGGCGGCTCCTCGCCAGCAGTCGTCTCCGCCGCGGCCGGGGCGGGCGGCTCGGACTCGGTCGGCGGCGGGGCGGCTGCTGCCGCTCCGGACCTCCTCCGGCCCGGCGCGCGCATGTCGCCGGCGCGCGGCGGCCGGCGGGGCGGCGAAAAGAGCGCGCGGGCGGCGGCCGGCAGCCGCGCCAGCCGGCCCGAGCCGCGTCTGGTCTTGTCCGGCAACGGCGGGGGCAGCTCCGTCTGCTCCAGCGACGGTGACGGATCGTCTGCCCTCTCTGGGACCTCCGGCTGGTCCGTCTCCCCTGAGGCAGATGGCTGGTTCACCCTTTCTAGAGCTGGCGGCTGGCTATCCTCTTCTAGAGCTGGCGGCTGGTCCACCTTCCCCACAGGCGTGTGGCAGTGCCTCGCCACCGGTGCCACCGTTTCCCGTGACGGGCCGTCCACTGCCGCCGGCTGCCGATCCTGCGCCCCCTCGTCACCCGGCGGCGACTGCTGCACTTCCGTCGGCGGGGACGGCGGCCGTGGCGGCACCAGACGGGTCTTCCGCGGAAGAGGGGGCGGCACAGCGAGGCGCGACGGCGACTCATCGGCCTCCCCCGGTGCCGGCAGCGGCTCGCCGGCGTCGGTCGGCGGCAGCGGCGGCGGCGGCGCCAGCACGCGGCCGCCGCCCATCGTCGGCGAGGTGATCCTCCTGCGCAGCTGCTTCTCGGGCGAGCGCCGCACGCGGCTCAGCACCAAGTCCCGCACGAGGCTGCCCTGCGGCGGCCGCTCAGCCTCGGGCCACGCCTCGGGCAGGCGAGAGAGCGGCAGCGGCGCGCCGGAGAGGGCGGCGCGCGCCGGCAGCGCCAGCGTCGGCTCGGTGGCGCCGCGGCGCAGCAGGCGCGCGCTGGCCTCCTCCACCAGCGGCGACACTCGCAGCCGGGCCGGCAGGTCCCCGGGAGCCGCCGCCGCGGGGCAGGCGGAACCGGGGTCGGCGGTCGTCTGACGGAGGGCAGACACCCGCGTCGATGGCGCCGTCTGTCGGCCGGGAGCCGGCTCTCGCATCTGGTCGGCTCTCCTGGAGGGAGCCGCCGGAGCAGAGACGGCGGAGCCGGTGCTGGACGGCGCTGCTGCCGCCGGAGCCGGCTCCCGCGTCTGGTCAGCTGTCCTGAAGGCAGCCGCCGAAGCGGAGACGGCGGAGCCGGTGCCGGACGGCGCTGCTGCCGCCGGAGCCGGCTCCCGCGTCTGGTCAGCTCTCCTAAAGGGAGCCGCCGGAGCGGAGACGGCGGAGCCGGTTCCGGACGGCGCTGCTGCCGCCGGAGCCGGCCTCCGCGTCGGCGCAGCTCCCGTGAGCGGAGCGGACGGAGCGGAGGATTTCGGAAGAGTGACCTCTGGAGTGCTCGACGCCGTCGGCGTGAAGGTGTCCGACGACCTGAGCGACGTGTCACCCGCGGTGAGTAAGCCGGGAGTAGGCGCTGCAGATTTTTGCTGGGGCAAATCAGCCCCTTCGTCGACTTTAGCTGCAACTGCGGTCACTAACGCTGGGGGCATTTTCCTTTACTTCATTCTTCACCTGCAACGCGAATTTGCCTAGCGAACTATTCTTAGCGTTCCTTTGTTGAGTGACACTATTTCGGCCTACTGCGTCTCTTTGGTCATTGTCATAAACATCTAGATCCGTTGGTCCAGCAGCATCAAACCGGATGCCCGACGAATCATAAGCGCCTTGAGTTTGCAAGAACTTCGCTCCGGTCTGGGCGGTGCCCGTCGACGTTCGGAGCTCTGCGGCGTCTGCGGCCGCGGCCACAAGCTCATCACGGTCCGCAGCTTGGATCTCTGCGGTATCTGCGGCCGCGGGCACAAGCTCGTCACGGTCCGCAGCTTGGATCTCTGCGGTATCTGCGGCCGCGGCCACAAACTCATCACGGTCCGCAGCTGCAGCCGGCACACGGGCAGGACCGGACGGTCCGGAGACGGAGACCGGCGCCATGGCGTCAGTGCGATCGACCACGGATCTCTGCTCGGCGTCAGAGACGGTTATCGCGTCTGTCTCCATGGCAGTATCGATCTCCTCTGTGGGCGGAGCTGTCGGCACGGACTCCACGGTCGGGGCCACGCACGCGACATCCGCGCTCGCTCCGGGAGAGACAGCACTCGTATCGGGTGGTGCCGCCTCGCCGTCCGCCACCGCCTTCTGCTCAGCATCCTCCACCGACCCCGCCGGATCTGTCACCGACGCGACCTCCGCCGGCTCCGCTGTCGCTGCTCCCCTCCCGCTCAGCTCCGTCTCACCCGCCGAACGTACGCCCACACCACCGGCGTCCCCAACCACCCGCCACGAGGGGGCAGGCTCCCGATCTGAAGCAGCCTCAGCGTCACTGGTGCCGAGCGACTCACCGACTCGGCCCTCAGGCGACTCCGTCGCTCGACGCCCGGACTCACCGGCTCCAAGTTCGGGCGACTGGGTGCCGCTGTTGCGCGCCCTCGCCGGACCGACGCCTCCCAGCGGCGGCTCGCCGTCCTCGGCGTCGCTGAGCGCGGCGGGGTCCGAGACAGACGGCGGTCGACGGCGGCGGAACGTGATGAAGCGCTCATCCACGCGCAGCTCCGGCTCGTCAGCGGCGGCCTCCCGCGCCCGGTCGGCCCGCGCCAGCTCGGTCGGCTCGGCCGCCGACTCGATCCACTCGGCCTCGGTCCAGGTGGGCAGGCGACCGTCTGTCCAAGACTCGGCTGCCGTCCAGGCCGACGCGCACGGAGTGTCGTCCGTCGTGACCGGCCCCGGCGCCGTTGTCGGCGACTCCGCGGTCACCCAGGCGGGACCGTCCCCGTCCGACGCCGAGCGTTGGTGCGCCGGCGGCGACTCGGCCGATACCCAGGATTCCTCTTCTTCGTCCTCTTGTTCCGACTTGATGAGTGTGGGGTCTGTCGGTGAGTGGGCTTCGAGAGCGACCTCTGGCGGCGACACGCGGCCCGTGTGTTGCCTGCCAGCTGCTGACTGGTCCTCCAGCGTGTTCGACAGGTCGCCGCTGCTGACGCTCTGGTGGGAGCCGACGTCGTCTTGCGATGTCTCGCTTCCTTCGTCACAGCCCACCACGTCGACTGTCGCGTCTTCCCCGACAGCATCGCAGGCGGGCTCGGCAGTCGTGTCCCAGAGTTGACGGTGTTCCTCCCCAGACGAGGACTGCTCGAAGATGTCGTCAAAGTCCCGCTCCAGGGCCGTCACGTCCACGTCATCCAGCAGCGCGTCGAAGTCCTTGAAGGTGTCGTCCACCTCTTGTCTGAACTCTGAGCTCTCAGAACCGGAGCATGCTGGTGACAACGGCCCGCGCTCAGCTTCCTGTGACATCTGCCTTTCACTTTGTGCTCTGTCCAACTCCATCGAAGTTTCCAGCTCATATTTCTCAGGCGCAGCCACAGCGCTGAAGGGCAATTCGTGTCCTTCTTCGACGTCCATCAAGTCATCCCCGCAAATCTGCTCCCATCTCTTCCCCAACTGGTCATCGTCAATTGAGTCATCTTCCGATAATGACGGGAAGATATCAGCAGTATCCTCCTCACAGCTGGAATACTGGGCGAGCTGTGATCCTTCGTCATTCACATAGGTGGCGCTGCCCAGATTCTCTTTGTCTCCGTAAGGTGAGCTTGTGCGCCGTCCCATCCTCTGAGAACTAGAAGAGACGAGGCAGGCATCATCTTCTTCGGAGCTAGCATGCCCGAAATGTACATCATCATCCCTCCCATTGGCATTGTTCCGTACGGCGTCCTCCATCCCAGGACTTGAGCAGCGCATTTCAGCCCCGTTTCTGTCATAACTTGAAGAATATACGTTCGAATTTTCCTCTTCCGAAGCGGACATATCTTCGTCGGGGCACTCGGTTTCGTGTTTCGTTGCGCGTGGAGGCGACCTGCGACGAGGATGCGGACTCTGCTTGTTTTCTTCAGGGCTGGTCGAGAGCAGGTCCGCCTCTTGCCTAACGGAGCCGTGAATACCTACATCCGGTCGACCTTGTCTCGGCGACGTCGGCTCAGCCCCATCATCGGGCTCAGCAGGCAGCGGGTTATCAGCGCTGTCTCGGTGCACCAGCACCTCACGTGGTCCTCCCTCCCGCGGGCCGGCGCTGAGCGCCTTCCCCACGCCAGTCTGGCGCCGCGGCGCGGCGCCGCCGGCAGGGTCCTCGCGCGCGGTGTCGTCAGCTGGCGCTGCTGATTCGGTCCGGCGCTCAGCAGAGGCTTCCGTCGTCCCGTGGTGCTCCACGGGGACGGACGGGGAGCCGTCTGCCGGCTGCTCGGAGCTGTCCATAGCGGTCTCACCAACTGCGGCGTCAGGGGGCTCCAGCCTCCCGTCCACACACTCAACGGCAGGCTCCAGTGCGACGTCTGTCTCGCCCGCGCCGCGCGCCCTGCTGTGACCGGGCGTTTGATCTCTCGCAGCGGCTCCGGACGTCCGTCTCGCGGCACCGCCTTTGACGGCGGACTCCGCCGTCGCCTTGCGGCCTCCTCCGGACGGCGGACGCCGGGCCCCGGCCGCCAGGGGCCGCGACGGAGCCGCTGCCGTCCGGCCCGCTGCCAGCTGGCGCGTCGGACCGCGACCGGCCGCCGTCCGTACCCCGTCCGCGGAGGGAGAGCGGGCCACCGCCGCCGCCGCCGCCGGCGCACCGCGCCCGCCCAACAGCCGCTGCTTCTCCGAGATGCGGCTCATGAACGTGCTGACGCGGGAGTTCAGCTCGCTGGCTGAGCGCGACTTGGAGGCGGCCGGCGACGCCGGGCAGGGCTCGGCAAGGTACTGCTTCTTGAGCTCCAGTGAGCTCCGCCAGGCGGGGGCCGAGCTGGGCGCGGCGCGCGGGGCCAAACGGCCACTGGAGGGCGCTGGGCTCCGCTTCGCCTCCCCGCCTTGCCCCGCCACGGAGTCCTGCTTCGCGTCGACTGCTTCCCTCCTCGTCTTGGCCTGGCGGGCGGAGCCGACGCCGCTTCTGATCGCAGCGCGAGCCCGGGGGATGCTGGATTTGACGGCGTGTCTGCCGTTCACCGCGGGGCTCGCGGCAGGCGCCGACGCGACGGCGCCCGCCGAGTTTGGTCCCTCGCCGGCCTGCCCCGGAGTCGTTCCCTCGCCGACCGCCGCCTCTGGGGCCGGCGAGCCCTGGTCTTGCTTCAGGAGCCGCCCGCCGGAGCCGGAGCCAGAGCCGGGGCCGGGGCCGGGGCCGGGGCCGGGGCCGGAGCCGGAGCCGGAGCCGGCCGAGTCGCGCTCGGCGCCGATCGGCTCCGGGCGGCGGCCGGGTCGCGGGGAGCCGTCCGAGTCCTGGATGACGATGAGCGGCGGCGGCCCGACCGGCAGCGGCGGCGGCGGCCCGTCCTCAGAGTCCGACGACTCCGAGTCGGAGGACGCCGCCGTGGAGTTCTCCGACGAGGACGAGGATGAGCTGGAGCCGGAGCATGTCTGCGGCAGACAGCGCATTCTTTAGGAGAAGGGCCTGAGGACGGGGCTGAGAACGGCACACGACTTGAAAAGTCAGGGGCTCAAGTAGCTGGCTAGAACAGACGCGGGTTATCACCATGTACCGACGGGCGTTTACGATACGTTCGAAAGAATGGCAGTATATGAAATGGCATATTGGAGAACGCATAAAATGCTGTTGGCGACGGGGCTTTCGGACAAAACAATGGTTTTCCAAGGGAAAAATGAATCGTAATATATACGATCACTGTTGAAAACCTGCGGCCAGTACTTAGGTGGCTCGATGCATGGTTGGTTACTTGTCTGGATAAAAAAGGTAGTTGGTTACATGGCTGGGTAACAGGCAAACGTTTGAGAACAGCTACGACTAATTTAGCTTCAGAAAAAGTACAAGTTTGGTCCAATCTCCAACCGGTCTGATTTACTGTGTTCTCACCACTTTCATTCGTCCTGTCTAGATAACACATTAGAATATGCAGAGCAATAATGAATGTACTGTAGCACGTTTGCACAGGAGCGGTCAGCACATCACAAACTCGCAGGCACAATTATATATGCATGCACAGCCCGTAAAACGCGAGGGACGAGCGCTCGTTTAACTCTTACTGGGACTTCATGGTCATAACCGCTGGATTCAAAACGACGCTGCTATATACGCGGATGTGATACAGGTGCAGAGCAGAGCCACGGAGCCCAGGGCATGTATACAGGGTATGATTATACAGGTTATATAATTTCCTACAGAATGCATTATATGCGCATTAACACTTACTAAAGGTGTTAACGTCGTGCCGAAAACGCTCCCAAAACGGAACCAAACCACACTGAGCCAGGCCAAACCAGTCAAGCCAAGCAAAATCCAAACCAACGAACGCATATACTGGGAGTTAAATCATCCACGTCAGAAAACATGAGTATGCTGTAGTTTAAATCTTTTCCAATTTACCCAAGACGTCTCAATGAACTTCATTATCTGATAAACGACTCAACGCGCCGTTTGTAGACCAGACAACTTGGTAATGCCTTTTTATACAGGAAAACACATTATGTTTAAAGCTGACCCCGCATTAGGCTGCTTTGCTACGTAAATTTATGAATATGGTGCAGTTTCTAAGATAAGGTGCACTGGCTCGCTACAATTCATTAAAGCATGCTGCTTTCAAGTATCAGCGGCCAATCCCACTTCCGAGCGCCACACATATACACAGTCATGCAGGCACCGTTGGTGCGCGATGAGACCTGTGTTGTCGGCACACTTTGCGGGAGGGGCGCCGGTGCTGCAGCTTGAAGCGCCCGGGACAGGGTGAGCCGGGCCGGCTAGGGCCAGAGGGGCAGGATCTGCCTTCTGGTCAGATGACGGAGTGGCTTAGGTTTCGACCGGGCCAGCTGGTGTCATGCGCCTCGCTGGTGGATTAATGAGGACTAGGCGGGACGGAAAGCAACGCGATTTGGTTATCCAGGCGACTTTGTACATGACACATTTATAATAACGCTACAGCAGAATACCAGATCGTGTCACATAAAGTAGGATGACCGCATCATTCCGTTACATATCTGGGCTTATATAAACGGTATAAAAAGCGTTATACGCGTCCAGTGGCTCGGTATAGAATCTCTCACAACGGCGCGATGCCAGGAACTCTCTCACAACTCTATCCAATGACGCTCTCACAACAGCGCGATGCCAGGAACTCTCTCACAACTCTCTCCAATCGCGCTCTCACAGCGGCGCGATGCCAGGGGCCCTCTCATAACTCCCTCCAATGGCGCTCTCACAACAGCGCCATGCCAGGAGCTCTCTCACAACTCTCTCCAATCGCGCTTTCACAGCGGCGCGATGGCAGGAGCGAGGTGCCCGTCGGACCCGGGAAAACGCCCCAATAGATTAGGCCTGATCGAAGAGTTCGCGAGCATTTCAGCATCGACACGAACAGCGCCCCAGGCAAGCGAGAAGAGACAGGGAGCGGAAGTTAGCAGGAGTCTTGCGGCCCGTCGGCCGGGTCACACAGGTCAAGTTCAAGGTCAGAAGGAGGTGCAGAGCAGGCGGTGTCGGAGCTCTCAGCGGCTGCTTGACACGGCTGGAATGCGCAGTGCGTAAACATAATAAAACAACAGTAGTCACAATTACCAATCGACAGTTTGACAGAGGGTAAAATTATCACCACTGAACGGGGATTTAAGCGCAAAGGACTAATTTTCTAACAAGCTTTATGGACTACTACCATGGAAGTTATACACTTATACTTCCTTACAAGGTTATTTAACATCGCCAGCTAGCGATTACAGAAAAAAGCGCAGCGCACGCCTTTGTGCAACCATCTGCCAAAACAGCGGGTACAAACATAATATTAACACACAGAAATCATGTCACCGGCCAGATGTGTACCGGGGGATCACACAACAAAGTACGATTCTCTCCCACCTAAGTTATTTCGTCCCAATGCCTCCTCGCATTGAGTCGCTTTCGTCCGGCGGAGGCGAGATCTGCGCGCTGATTGGCTGTGGCCAACATCGCGGCGGCCACTGTGCGTCGGCCCAGGAGCCTGCGCATGCGCGTCGGTCCGACAGCGAACGCTCCGCCGCTGGTTAGTGATGACTCACCGGCGAGTCGCTCGAGTCGCCGCGCTTGCTGCCGTGGTTTCGGGACTTGAGCACGTCGTCGGTCAGTTGGACCTCCTCCTGGCGCAGAAGCCGGGCCGACACCTCCTCTTCCGTCTCCGACTGGGTCACGGTGTCGGAGTCTGTAACGGCAAAATATTTGCTCAGGGAGGCCTGTGATAACGTTGTATCGAGTGTTCGTGAGCTTTACGTCAAAGTGTAGTTCATGTTACCGCAGATCCAGCGCATATTCAGATCTTTTCACAGTCATATTAAAAATGTTGGTTCAAAGCAAACATGCCCATAGCCTTTTTGGACGAAAATAGCTTCGCCATGTTTTAGCATTCCTTGCAAATGTTCCTGGTCCTTATCTCCGCGACCCGATGATCCATTGCAAAGCAATCTCGTACATTGCTCCAAGACGCCGCGCTAGGGCAATGTGTCTTCGGATTTATGTTGACAAAACATTCGTGTTGCAAAGAAAGTGCCTTATTATCAATCAGTGCGAAGGCACGGATGCAGATTGCAGGTAATCCTGCAGCACTCTGTTGATGTTGCATCTTGTCTTCAGCTCACCTTCGTCGGCGTGCTCGACGCCATCCGACTCGTACAGATCACTGCCGTCTTCCGAGGCCAGGTCCGTGTGGAGGAGATGCCATCTCTCGGCCAACCGGAGAACTTCGTCGTCGTCCAGCGCCGGCTCGAACTCGTCAGAGCCCGGCGACGAGTCGTCGTCACTGCAGGTCAGACGATTCAAGGACCAGGTCAATTTTTCACTGGGAGCCAAGCGATTCAAATGTCTAAATGTTTGATCCTGAACTGTGTGCGAAAATGAACGTTAGACCCGAAAATAACGCCCAAGCGATCAACTTGACAAACGTAAAGAGAAAACTACCGTAAAGTTTTCACTTTGACCTTGATCGATCTTCAAGTGATCAATCACCTGAATTCAAAACAAACATGAAAGAAATGTTTAGAGCAATCCGTTCAAAAATGTCTCCGGGAGAATCCGAAAACTAAAGACTCTCTTTAAAGTCATTAAGCTAATATAAACACGAAACACCGGGTCGCTAAACACGCGACTGCGCACGGTGCCGGCAGCTGACCTGGACTCCAGGCCGCTGGCCAACTCAGCCGTGGAGAGGAAGTTACGGTCGGTCCACTCGTCCTCGTCCATCTCCGAGAGAGGCTCGTCCTCAGAGAGCAGGTCCACGCTGTTCTCGAACTCGGCGCGCTCCGGGGTGACGCCGCGGCGAGAGGTCAGCGCGCGCGGCACCTGCGCGGACCGGTGGCATGGGACACGGGTCACACGGAGTGAGAGCGGGGAACAAGCGCACCTGCGCGGGCCGGTGGCACGGGACACGGGTCACACAGAGTGAGAGCGGGGAACAAGCGCACCTGCGCGGGCCGGTGGCACGGGACACGGGTCACACGGAGTGAGAGCGGGGAACGACCGCACCTGCGCGGGCCGGTGGCATGGGACACGGGTCACACGGAGTGAGAGCGGGGGCCCTGGCACCTGCAGGCTCTGCTTGCAGGGGAGCCGGGTCACGCAAGGCGCTGGCAAGCCTCGACGACTGGAGGTACGCCTAATCGGGACCACGCCATGGAGAAGAAAATGTACGCACCTAAAACATCAGATAGCAGATGTGCCAAAATTCACTAACGTGTCTGAGCACAGCGCGCAGACCGCAAATACACTTGCACCAAAAAGGCTGTGTCCGAGGCATGGCAGAACAGCGAGCGATGCCCACCACAGGTCAGACAGGCAGCTAACCTCAGCGATGGGAGCAGGCTCTGGAAGGACCGTCGGCACCTCGTTCCTCTGATACTTGTACTTCACCAGGGAGTGCAGGCCAAAGTGCGGCATGCAGAAGAACCGTCCCGTGTCGCTGTCGTGTGCGTAGTTTACTGCGGCAGGAGGTTGTGCGTACGCTGAACACCACGCAGGTTATGGACGGCCGCGCGCACACTCACTTTTGTATACTAACGTCGGAACAGTCAAGTGCCTCGTGGTGTCCAATCTTGTATCGACGAGCTCTCAGAGTCCAGCTGATAAGCTCAAACCACCGCGACCTCGTTCGGGATGTCTTTCGGAGCGTTTCCTGTCGGGGCGGCGTGGCAGCCCGCTACTCACGAGGCTTCAGGGTGACGTTGCAGTACTCGCAGCGGAAGCAGGGCGGGTGGAACACCTTCCCGTTGGCCACCATCCGCTCCACCAAGTAGACGCGTTGGCAGCAGAAGTGGCACGTCTCGGCGGCGGCGCCCGAACCCTGGCGGCCACAGACGGAACTAGAGGGCGGTCTCGCACTCCAGCCCGTCCGGGGACGGCACGGCAGAGACCGACGCTGGCGGGTCCGGGCCGCAGCACCCGCAGCACCGCTCACCGGTGCGGCACCATGGCAAGCCAAGGTGCCGCCTTATCTTTGTGGACATACCGCCGCCTGTTTCGCTTTGCGTCCAGTATGACCTTCGCAGTGCGTCCACAGTCTGACCTAAGTCGTGTGTCGGCTCGCCTGCTTTTGCGTCCCGTCAGGAGTTAGGTCCGCTTCCAGACGAGTGGTGGGTTAGAGACGGAAGGGCAGCTTTTCCTCCAGAACTTCCACAAAAACAGCATTAACCCCACAGAATTTCGTGGAAGGAAACGACTTAAAAGCGAATTTGCGCTGTCCTTCCTCCATCGAGGTTCCGTTGCTAGCGCCTCCAGAGTGCAGCCGCCGCACGCGCCAGTGTGAGCGTGGGTCGGTCGCAGTCGGCCGCCTGTCGTGGGGGCGCTGGCGTCGCCGCCGAGCGTCGCCCCGGGCGGGTCGGCGGTCGGTGCTGACGGCAGCTGCTCGCCACCCCTCGTCCCCGTCGGCCGTCCAGGTCACCGGCGGCTCGTCCCGTCTCGTCTCGGCCCCCGCCTGCCGTCCAGGTCAGCGGCGGCTCGTCCCGCCCCACCATCCCCGGCTGCCGTCCAGATCAGTGGCGGCTCGTACCCCCCCCCCCCCCCCCCGTCTGCCGTCCAGGTCAGCGACGGCGGCTCGTCCCGCCTCACCCTTGTCTGCCGTCCAGGTCAGCGACGGCGGCTCGTCCCGCCTCACCCTTGTCTGCCGTCCAGGTCAGTGGCGGCTCCCCTCGCCCGCTCCCCCCCCGCACCCACGATCTGCCGTCCAGGTCAGCGACGGCGGCTCGTCCCGCCTCACCCTTGTCTGCCGTCCAGGTCAGCGGCGGCTCGTCCCGCCTCACCCTCGTCTGCCGTCCAGGTCAGCGGCGGCGGCTCGTCCCGCCTCGCCCCCGTCTGCCGTCCAGGTCAGCGGCGGCGGCTCGTCCCGCCTCATCCTCATCTGCCCTCTAGGTCAGCGGCGGCTCGTCCCGCTCACCCTCGTCTGCCGTCCAGGTCAGCGGCGGCTCGTCCCGCCTCCTCACCTCGTCTGCCGTCCAGGTCAGCGGCGGCGGCTCGTCCCGCCTCACCCCCGTCTGCCGTCCAGGTCAGCGGCGGCGGCTCGTCCCGCCTCGCCCCCGTCTGCCGTCCAGGTCAGCGGCGGCGGCTCGTCCCGCCTCATCCTCATCTGCCCTCTAGGTCAGCGGCGGCTCGTCCCGCCTCACCCTCGTCTGCCGTCTAGGTCAGCGGCGGCTCGTCCCGCCTCACCCCCGTCTGCCGTCCAGGTCAGCGGCGGCGGCTCGTCCCGCCTCACCCCCGTCTGCCGTCCAGGTCAGCGGCGGCGGCTCGTCCCGCCTCACCCTCGTCTGCCGTTCAGGTCAGCGGCGGCGGCTCGTCCCGCCTCACCCTCGTCTGCCGTCCAGGTCAGCGGCGGCGGCTCGTCCCGCCTCACCCCCGTCTGCCGTCCAGGTCAGCGGCGGCGGCTCGTCCCGCCTCACCCTCGTCTGCCGTCCAGGTCAGCGGCGGCTCTTCCGACGGTCCTCGTCCAGCAGAATACGCTGGAATATCTCACGTACTTATCTGGCGTGTACGTTGGCTGTCGGTTCCGTATGTTGTGACACCCAGTTTGTTATATTTGTCACGTTCAGTCTGGGGTGCCGACTACTTCAGCTACGTTGCTTTTTTGTGAATATGTTGTCAGTTGTTTGCTAAGGCCTGCTTACAGCCCCTATCGCGTGTTACTCCTTTGGCCGTCTGAGAGTGAGGGCACTGAAGACACCGTTTCACCTCCAGCCTTTGTGTAACATTACATAACGGCGGTTTGTGGAACAGACAGCGTAGGCATTGCGGACATCCATCGCCTCGTCATTCGCAATGAGTTCAACTCGGTGAATTCAATGAGTTGAGTTTGATTTCGATGCGGTGTGTGGATAGTAGCGGTACAATCCGCAATTAGTTTGTTAACCGACAAAATATCACATTTCGAACAGCTCAGCCATGTGATGATATTCGGTGGAGCCCATCGTATCATCATAGTACTCCAGATCTCTTCATTTAATCAAAATTCTGTAGTTTGTCACGCCATTAACCTGTGCCCGTCCCAACGTTATCCGGTTAAATTCACGGTAGTTCCAAAAAGTAGTCCTTTCTTTCCGCATTTCAACAGCATCATATTTGTCCAACACGCGCTGCGCTTTTGTTCCGTCATTTGTACCAGCCGCGTGTCGACAACGCCCCGCCTGAGCTGTGTGTTGTCGGCAATACGCGGCTTAAGCGGACCTACCAGTGTGTCTCCGGGTTCAAAGCCCGAATCCACCGCTTGGCAAACCGTCAGCCATCCTGCAGTCAGCGGCTTCAGACCCTCAGCTGTCTGTCCCAACTTTCAGGGTGTGCCATTCCCGTACTTAGTCATTCTCCACCCATTTTGCACGTTGGGTGCTGTACCTTTTGCAGTTGTTTGCGAATACGTTTGTCGACCTGTTTCTGTTGTTTGCGCTACGGTATCCGTCTAGTTATGTTACGGTCAGTTGTTGCCAGCAACCGTCTGTGCCTGCCTGTTCAGCCACTGTATGAGCAATGGGGACAGCAGTATCTGAGCACTGTAGAACAATGTTCTCAGTTCGCCTTGGTCTGTTTTGCATTGCAAAGAACCGCTCGCTTCGGCTATTATATACCACATGTCAGCGTTACTTGGACGCTCGCAGCATGCATTGATGTGGACCCTGGGCCGTATTTCTCCGTTAGTCATTATCTTTCTATGCCTGGTAGTTCTGTCCGTATCATCCCTTCTCCCGTCGCTCCACTTTTATGCCGCATAGGTGAGTACATACAGACACACATCACCGTGTCTGTACGCCAGTGGAAGACTGCGCGGTCGATCCTGTCATTATCGCCACATGCAGCTGATGCACGACATCCGTCAGTCCTGTCCTCGTATTTACAAACAATTCACGCACGACTTGATTCAACATACGTCTGGGCCTAACTTCTCGCCGTAGTTTGATTCCCATCCGACCCAGTGAGTTCTTCATTTCCGGGGTGATTGTCGTACATCGCCTTATCACCCACGTCTCAGTCGTCGGTCGGTCCTGATCATCCCACTCGCGAGCATCACTCGTCATCTCTGTGTGCGGCAGGGTCAGTGTCCCGTGCAGCCTCTGTGTCTGTTCTTGCCAGGCGTCTGCCAATGAGCTGGCTCAGGTGTTGTCAGCCCAGTGTCAGTCCCCACAGCCCGGCTGTGTTGTCACCAGCACTGCGTCCGTCCCCACAGCCCGGCTGTGTTGTCACCAGCACTGCGTCCGTCTCCACAGTTCGGCTGTGGTGTTTCCAGTCCCGTGCCAGTCCCCACAGCTCGGATGCGGTGTTTCCAGTCCTGTGTCAGTCTCCACAGCTCGGATGCGGTGTTTCCAGTCCCGTGTCAGTCTCCACAGCTCGGCTGCGGTGTTTCCAGTCCTGTGTCAGTCCCCACAGCTCGGCTGCGGTGTTTCCAGTCCTGTGTCAGTCTCCACAGCTCGGATGCGGTGTTTCCAGTCCTGTGTCAGTCTCCACAGCTCGGATGCGGTGCTTCCAGCCCCGTGTCAGTCTCCACAGCTCGGCTTCAGTGTTTCCAGTCCCGTGTCAGTCTCCACAGCTCGGCTGCGGTGTTTCCAGTCCCGTGTCAGTCTCCACAACTCGGCTGCGGTGTTTCCAGTCCCGTGTCAGTCTCCGCAGCTCCGCTGCGGGGCGGACAGCCCCGCTGTGTGCCCTCAGTTTCAGCGTGCGTCTAGCCATACAACATCGTCGCTGTCCGAGTCTATTTCTCGGGGGAGGTCGCTCGTGCTCATCATGCTGCGCAGCTCGGGTTTAGGTTGAGGTGTGCTGTGCAAGAGACCCGTACCCACACGCACGTCAGCTAGGCCACAACGACCGATGCACTGTATGTTTCCCTCCACTCAACTGGCATAGGAAACGGCGCACGTAATATCAGCACGAATGCAATAGCATGACATGCTCTCATGATCATATCGCATAGGAGATCGCATGAGTCGTTCTATTGTTTTGCTCATAGCTTTATATGGATACAATCCGTCGGCCCAAGTAGTTTTTTACCGCAACACAATCAAGTAAACATTGAAAACTCAACGTATACTTCCAGCGAGTCGAGCTGAGTGTAACACGTTCCTCCTAAATCGCGTTTGAGCTTACTCTCTGTTCGTCCCCTCCCTTCCCCAATATGAAACCTGCCAACGCAGTCAGTTTTCGTCAGTCTCAGTCATCTCACCGCGCCAGCCTTCCCAGTCTGCCGCTGTCTTTCGCCTTCCCAGCCCACGCCCAGCCCCCCCCCCCCCCCCCCCCGGGTCAATCATGCCGGTCTGAGATCTCCCCTCGTGCCTCGTGCGCCTCAGCCCCTCCGCCGACGGCAGCACGGAGTCCCGCCGCTCATGCGTTTAGTGCCCGCCATAGCCGGCGGGCGCGGCTGCGCCAGTGACAGAGCGCTGGAAGTGCAGCGGCCAGCACAGCCGCCGTTGGAGCCGCGGCAGTGCCGTCCGCCACCCGCGGCGTGCGTTAGTCGACGCCTGCCTGTACACGGGTAGAGCGCGACGGAGACGCGGCCGTCGCGGCCGTATGTACAGGGGCCGGCGGACCGCTGAGCGGCGCGCCACCCTCCACCGCCGCGCCGCTCCGTGAGCTCCGTGCCAGAGGCTTGTGTCCACGCGGACGCCATCTGCTGGGAGGCGGCACCGCAGGCAGAAGAAATGAGCAGACGCAGGCCCCCGGAGACCGGCATGCGGACAGAGAGCGGACAGCGGCCCCGGGACAGGACGGGCAGGACAGAAGCGCACCACCAGAAGCTTAGTCGAGAGATATTAATCAAAGCAGTCCCGCTCTTGGTTAGGCATTTATTGGTGTAAAAGATATTTAAAACACAACAATAACGCAGGTGATAACATCCGATATCACACAAGGAAGCGTAGTAATGACCAGCGCAGGCCCTGAGGCCCTGCATCCCTGCGAATGCCCGTCAACTGAGCATAACCACGTAAAACAGTCCCATCGCCTACAACTGTTACAGCTTATCGCCCGGGTCCTGAGCGTAAACCTGTTATGACGCCGGGCGAACACGCCGGTGTCACGGCTGGCCCTCACACAGGTACAAATATAGCACCACACAAAACAGCCATCTCTCCCGGCGCCGCAGCGACGTACTGCGCCGACGGACCAAGGACATCGCATCGCCCTCGCCGCCTCACAACCTGCCCCCGCTGCGAGCCCACGTCCCTTCCCAGCCGAGCGGCCACCCGCCGCGAGCCACAGCCCGCTGCGAGCGACTACCCGCGACGAGCGACTACCTGCCGCGAGCGGCCACCCACTGCGAACGGTTACTCGCCGCGAGCGACTGCCCGCCGCGAGCGACTACCCGCCGCGAGCGACTACCGGCTGCGAGCCACAGCCCGCTGCGAGCGACTACCTGCGACGAGGGACTACCCGCCAGCAGCCGACCGGCACAGCACCACAGCCCCTAGCGGTCGAACCCGCGCAGCGCGTCGCCCACGACCAGCGAGAGCGCATACGCCGCCAGCGAGTAGCATGCGCAGGCCAGCACGAGCGCGCGGAGGCGGGCGACCGCCGCGCGCGCCGAGCTTCGCAGTCGCGCCGCCAGGCCGCGCTGCGCTCGTACCTGGGCCGGCGGCGGTGGCGGCGGCGGCCTGCCGTGCTCCCTCGCCCCGAACCGCTGCGCTATCTGAGCCACGCGGTTCGAGCCGTGCAGGTGCTGCCGGTGTGGAGGGGTGACGGTTGGAGGGGAGCAGCGGCAACTCGACATTGCAGTTATTGGGGCAGGTGCGACCGAGGGCACGTCTGTCAATCCTTCGTGTTCACATCGCGCATCAAATCTCGACTTAGAGCGACAGCCAGACATGGTGCAAAGCACTGAACAAATCGCAGTGGTGTTATCTTTAGGGCTTCCTGTCTGAGAAACCTAGCCAGAGAGCAGCTGCGTCAAGGTGCGATGACGTGCTGACCAGGCTCGAGCAAGCCGAATCTGAGGCGGCTTGGGCCGACTCCAGCGCTATTTAAGATCAATCAGCGATGATTTACTCAACAAGCCTCGTCGGCAGCAGCCCAAAATACCAGAGGCTTTCGAAATAGATGGCCGGTGACGACGGTCGGCACCAGACCACCGGTCCACAGAACAGACCACACTACCTGGGGCGTTGTTCGTGCTTTAACTATTTCATCAAACACGCAACCAATGTGGTCGTTCACGTTCCATTCTTTCGCATCAAGACGAGGAATCAAATGGTAGCTTTCAGCAGGGCACGCATCTAAGGTCTGGAAGCCTAAAACACACGGCCCTCTGACGGCGTACTCCGGCGTCGGCGCACCTTGTCGCTGAAGGCGTCGCGGCTCCAAGGCAGCGCGCAGTCCCGGCTGGCGACTGTCCGCTTGTTCTCTTCGATCTTACGCTCGATCTGCTGCACGTTCCAGTCGGTCTTCTCGATGCGCCCGATCACCCTCGACACCGGCTGGCGGGACAGGGAGGGCAGAGGTCAGGTCAGCGCGCGACCTGACCTGACTTCCGGCGCGATCAGTAGGCCAGCAGCGGCACCGACCACATCACTCGACCACGCCCCAAAGTCCGCTGCACGCTGCTCACAGTACGTGGACACGGCTCACTGGCATCGTAACGCACGTAACAGCCCATAGGTGCCCAACACTGTACAAAACGACTAGCATCTTTACCACCGTCGATCAGACACCTCCCCCACCTCGCCCTCGGCGCCACTAACTGCGCCGCCGCGCCGCCCGGCCTACCTTGGCCTTCTTGTCGGGCGGCTGGTACGTGCCGCTAAACTTGGCCTCGAGGTCCTTCACTTTGGAGGCGAACTGCTCCTTCTTGGACAGCTCCGGGACTGGCTGTTTGAGATCCTTCTTGGCTTCGGGTGCCACACGATTCTGTGGGCACCAGGCCATCAGTCGACCGCCACGCCGGCAGAGCGGCACAATGCGAAATGAGGAGGCCCAGCGTTCTCTGCACCTCATCCCGTCTGTTCCGCTCGAGGATAGTTACGAATGCTTTTAAAATTCAGCTGTACGTTGCCACTGCACTGCACAGCACACACGACCATGTTACATTGGTAACCGCTGTACAGTTTACGTCGCACCAGGTCTTCGCAAAGGTCGATGTCAGGGAGACCGCGCAAGCCGTGGTGGACGCCAGCTGAAGAGGGGTCATGGTGCGGATTAACACACGACGCCGACAGGCACCCCTGTACAAACATTTCACACATGGTGGTCAGTCGCAAATTGCAAACACAAAATCAGCGCATGAAAAATTAATAAGCCACAACAAATCGAATCAGTGAAGCCTCAAGCGTGCCAAACACTGCCTGACTTAAAATGTGGTGTTCAAATACAGCCAAGACATCACCTAGTCAGCAGGAGGTGCGCTCAGACGGACGCCATCTTGCCGCTCATGGATGGTGGGTGGCGCAAAACACGGCGCCAGCTCATATAAGCCGCGCCACCACTGACCAGAGCCAGTGCACGACACAAACGACACAAAGGCGCCACGTTCACTCGTATCTCCATGCAGAGGTTAATCGCCAAACGACCGCACGTGGAAACTAGCCGGCGCAGTTAGGCGGCACACGGTCTGCAGGCAAGCAGACGCGTCCTCCGAGCGTCACGTCACATCACGTCACGTCACGCTGACGTCACGAGCGCGGCACGCAGGCTCCTCACGGGGCGAAACACCATGTCCTCCAGCCGGCGTCGGCGCAGCTCGAAGTCGGCCGCCGTCTTGCGGTACAGGTGAACGGTAAAGTCGTCGAACTCGGCCGGGTCGGCGCGCCGCGTCGCGCCGCCGCCCAGCAGCGTCGCCTCGAGGTCGGCCTTGCGCTGCGCCAGCGAGCGCAGCTGGCGCCGCTCGCGGCGCACCAGGCGGCGCCGCTCGGCCTGCGCGCCGCCGGCCAGCGAGCGCTCGAGCGCGGCCAGCCGGGCGCCGAGCGCGCCGGCGTCGAGGCGCCGGCCGCGGCCGCCGGGCGTGGCCGGCGCCGAGCCGCCCAGGCCGAACGCCGCCTCCACCAGCGCCAGCTTGCGGCGGTCGACCGGCGGCGCGGCGGCGGCCGGCGCTTCCTCGTCCGAGCTGAGGCTGGACGAGCCGCTCGACTCGTCCTCGTCCGCGGCAGACGCCGGCGGTGAGTCGCAGTCCTCGGCCGCGCTCCCGCCGGCTGACTTGCTCTACAGACGGCCCTGACCCGTCAGCGCGGCCAACACATCCCGCCCAGAACGTCGGCCGGCTCAGCTGACGGCTCCTTCAAGCCACAGCCCAGTAACGCACTGGCCCGCCGGACGGAAAGCAGGGAATCGACCGTATGAACAGCGCAACTGTGGCCATACCTTGGTGAGGCGCTGCAAGCCGTACATGTGCCGCGACCCTACTGTGGCGGGCGCGTAGCCTGCCCCTGACATGCCGCGTCAAGGCTTCCATCCTTCACCACGACACAACTCACCGACATATCAGCCCCGCCGGCACACCGACCCCGGGCAGCTGTCGGGTGTGGACCCGACACAGCCACCCACCATGAAACCCCGCCCCTGTCCCTGTCCAACGCCACTGACCGTCTTCGGGTGCGCCGCCTCGCTCTTGCGCTTGCGCTGTCGCCGCAGCGTATCACCGTTGGCGGCGTGGTGGCCGTCATGGGCGGCGCGGCCCGGCGGCGTGCGCCGCGGCGAGCCAGCATCCTCCGGCAGCGTCTCCTGCGGGCGGCGGCGCGTCAGGGCGCGGCCGGCACTCCGGCGGCGTCGAAGGGCCGTCACAGGCGAGAACGCCGCACCACTGGTCCAAGAGCCGGGTCAAACGCGAGGTTCCAGGATCAGGCTGGTTGATACGGCATTGGCACAGGTATAATGAAAGCAAGAGCTCGATCGGTATGCCCATTTCATAATTGCAGGGCGTATCCTGTTTGGAAGCAAAAGAAACATGATTGATACCAGGAAAATCCATGTTATGCGGCAATGAGGCATGATGCATTCATCGCTCACTGCAAACACACACACCCACCACACCCACACACACAACTTACTGCGCTTGAGACGTCTTTCAAACATCGGTCATCACGCAACCCAAAGTGTTCAAACAAACACCTCCCCTCCGCTGCAGGTCGCACACGTCACAACCACCCACCGCCCTCCACTCCCCCCTCCCCCCCCACGCTGCACCACTCACAGCCCCCCCCCCCCCCCAACGCTGACCACTCACGGCGGCCCCAGCCCCACCCCTCGCTGCACCCCTCACGGCTACCCCCCACGCTACACCACCCACAGCCGCCCCCCCTCGCTGCACCACTCACGACGAGCCGGGGCCGACCGGGTGGCGGCAGGCCGTGCAGCGCGTCGAACATCAGGCTGGCGTAGCGTATGAGGTCGGGCCGGTCTGGCGGCGCCAGGCCGGCCACCTGCTGGCCGGTCAGCAGCGGCGCCACGCCCAGCTCCGACTCCACTAGGCGCAGCGCCAGGCCGGCGACCGCCAGCGGCTCGGTCGGCAGCGCCGACGGCTCCAGCAGCTCCGGCCGGTAGCTGTGCAGCATCGCGCAGAGCGCCACACCTGCCGGCACGACGGCGTGACGGCGTGACGGCGTGACGGCGTGACGGTCGCAGTTTTCAGCCACACATAGACTTTCCACAAAAAGGTCTCCAACTCAACCGGTTGCTGCCGACAGCAATTCCACAGCGAACTAACCAGACGCTACTACAAACTCGGTACCGACGCGCCATGAGTCCGTCCGCAGCCTCGGTGATACGTCTCTGACCTGGCTGAAACTACCCTCCCTACCATGGGTGACCACACTGCCCGGCAGAAATCAGCTGATCCCGGCACGTGACTGGAATCAGCCGGTACGGTCGGCGGCGGTCGCACAGCCCGGCTCGTGTCAGCGGGCGCCGGTTCCCACCTGACTGGAAGCAGTCGGTGACATCCGTGACGTCAATGTCGGTGTCGGCCAGCCGGCGGCGGCACCAGCGGAGCAGCGCCTCCTCTTCGATCGGCTGGTAGGGCCGCTTGTGCGGCGGCAGGTCGACCTGGTGATCCCGTGCCGTCGCCGCCGCCAGCTGGCCGGTCAGCCAGCCGGCGTCGTCGGCGTCCACCAGTTGGCAGACCTGGCGCGCGCCCACCGCCTGCAGGTTCAGGTTCGGGTACCTGGCGGCCGAGCGAGGCGTCAAAACCTGCGGAGCGCGGGGGCGACAGCCGCCGGAGATGGCGGGCCAACGGTTGGCAGGCGCCTCAGCCTTAATCTGGACCAAAGAGGATGACCGGGGGCGACGCAGATATCCCTGGAGCGTTTTACGACGCACGCAACTGCTATGATTCTTAGCGTCTCAACACCTCGAGCCGATCGCAGCGAGTGAAACCGAGGCAGATCTGGCAGAAAATATCGAGCCCATCCTGCCGGCCGGACGTCGAGCATCTTAACATGAGCTTGACTTTCCCCAAGACAACACCAACACACAACACATTCGGATCTCCAGCACCATTCATCAAACCATTTGACCAAGTAACTTCCATCCGTTCAAAATGCATGCCACCATCCAGCTCAGTGCACGTGACAAATGTCCCCCGGCTGCCCCCTCGCCCTCCCTCCCGGGCCTGGGCGTCTGCCGCCACACTGACCGCGTGCGCGGGTCCAGACTGTAGCCGCCCAGATCACTGCTCAGGTTCTTGGGAGTGGTCTGCGCCAGCAGCCGGTACGTGGACTCGCGCTCGGCCAGACAGTCGAGCGCCGTGAGACGCGGGTTGGCCCACGTGCGGATCTGCCAGGCCGCGTCGAAGCAGGAGAGGAAGCCGCGCGCGCACCCGCTGCCCGTCGGCCAGAACGGCTGCAAAAGAGCCGGCGTGGAGGCTGTGCACGCTGCGGGGACGCTCACGCATGATACGGACGAGGGCGTCGCAGATTTACATACCAGATACAATGTACAAGGCGGCGGATACAAGTGGCGTCATTTGCAGTGCATCTGAATTGGGGCCAACAGTTGAAACCACGTGCATGACTAAAATACTTCGCCACCCACATGGCAACAGCCAGCGAGCGAGGCTACCTTGCTGGCCCGGGCCTCTTCCAGCCAACAGAGGAGTTAACACTGTGTAATCCGCACCACACTTCACAGTCTGTGGTCTCTAATGGCATCCTTCTTTACACACACCTCCGACTGGATTGTGTTCTTCAACACATCTCTAATGCAATGGCACACACTGACCCCGCATCGATCAACCCCCCCCCCCCCCCCCCTTCCCCCGCAGGCCGAACCGTACCCACCTCGAGCAGACTGTCGCCGACCAGCTGCAGCAGCAGGCTGTGGCCGTGCCGCACCGTCACCGTGCTGGCGTGGCGGGCGGCGTACATGCAGGTGAAGTCGAACATGGCCACGTCCTCGAGGCCGTAGTGGTTGAGCGCGAACACCAGCTGCGGCAGCTGGCCGTCCGTCGAGAAGTCGGCCGCCTCGCGCGCGTACGCCATCAGACGCGCCCGGTCGATGTTGTCCTGCGCCAGCAGCCGGCTGGTGTCCACGTGGTCCTGGCGGCGCCGGCGGCCACGGCCGGTCAGTGCGGGGAGGGCGCTCGGCGGCCGGTACAGGTGCGCGGGGCCGGCCGAGCGTGCACGCTGGTGTCGGGTAGCCGGCCTCACGTCCTGCACGCCCAGCCACGCTGATGCGCTGCGTGCGATAACACTCGGACGCGTTGGAACGGTCGAGCCGCGACGGCTCGAGCCGCACCGCGACCGCGATGCCCAACGCTGGGAGCCGAGGTGTCGGCGCAGTGTGCCGTTGCCCCGGTCGACAGCTCAGATAACGTCATCAGGTCACCAGACGCTGACATCACGTGCCGCCGCAGGAACCCAACGGTAACGAGACCACAAACAAACACAGTGCACTTCCAGTGTCAACACAAGCTCGCATTAATGAGCGGCTGCCTACCTAGCTGTATCAACAATAGCGATGTCGAGCAAAGAAGTTCGTCACCATGTCGCCTCCCGCTAACCTCCCGCGAGGCTATCGCTATTGGGTGATACAGATCCCACAAACAAACAGCTCTGAAAAACACACCTACCCGCATTAACACGCGCTCGGGTGGAGTGGGGATCAAACTGACCCGCCCGAAGGTTTTTCCAGGATGGCTTCTGAATGGTGCGGCGCAGACGCGCCAGATTTTGCATAGTTCTAGACAATTTAATAACGAATCGTTTACCTTGTAAAGTCGCTGACCTATGGCAGGCCAAAGTGAGGCCATGGTTTCAGCGAAGTCAATTTCTGGGGAATCGTTCAATCTAATGCAACAACGGAATGTTAGACGAGGCCATACATTTCTGAGATACTTTCTTAAGCAATACAACAGTTGAATGAGCACAGCACATTGACCTAACGTCAGGTATGAAGGTCAGACCAGGGTCAAAAACAACCTGTTTTATTACCCTGGGGCTTGCTGTGTGGGATAGTTTCTGGTGCTCATTTCGAATGCATTGATAGCATGAACCGCATTATACATCTTCCATGGACTTCTTAGAGGTCAAAATAGGTCACTGATCCAAAATGACCCAGGTCAACATTTTGTTTTTAGGAACATACTGCCTAGCATAATCTTTGTCGCTTATTCAAAAGCAAAACTCAGAACAGTCTTGTATGATTTTGGTCATAATGATCTTCAAAAGGTCAAACAAGGTCACTGACCTTAAATGAGCAAGTGACCTTTTGCTTAGAAACGGTTATCTAGGTTGTGGGGGCACTTTGGAGACCAGCGTGGAATTTCACCTTGTTTGACCTTATTTGACCCGAAGGTCATGACCTACGAACGTGAAACATGACCTAAGTGAGCTCACGTACAGGATAACACGCTCTGTAAATTTGGTATCGCTAGCTCTTTTAGTTCCAGAATTTAAGGGGGGTCAAACTGACCCCCTACCCGAGCAAAGGGTATCAAGCCGGCCACCCGGGCGCGCGTTTATGGACATCTGGCTGCCTAGTAGCCTTCAGACCATGAGTATCGAGCGCAGAAATGTCGTAATGCACCCCCCCCCCCCCCCCCCCGTACTACCACCAGTCAGTACAGTACACACCTCCAGAATGACACCCTTGGCCAGCAGGCTCTGCTTCTTCGCGGTCATGACGAAGTAGTGCGTCTCGTCCTTGTAGTAAACGATGTTCTCCAGGTCGATCCCGGTGGAGGCGCTCAGCTCCTTGAAGAACTTCTGGTTGAAGATGAAGGCGACGCCGGAGATCTCGTCCACGCTCGCCTCGGCCTCGTGTGCCGGTTCACGAAGTTGGCCGTGATGGCGATGGCGAGCTTCCCGCGGAACTCTTTGCGTCGGAAGCCTGAGGACGGAGACACGAGATAACCAACAGCGTAGCGCGGCAGCTGGTGATCGTGCGGACGCACTGGAGAGCAGGGTCTAGATCATTTCTTAGTGATGTCGGCTGGCCTTGCGTCTGGACGGTCGGCTTAATGATAGCGACTCGAGCGACTGGAAAAAGTGGCGCAAACGACGAACGAACCTATGAGACATCGCGAGCAAAAACATGGCTTGACTGTGGGTGCCACAGCTACGCATGACAGCATACACAACCGACGACACATAGGAGCAATCCGGCGTTCATTTCGCGAAGAACGCACGCTGGGCGAGTACGGTGTGGCACCAAGGACTAAATAAGGAGGTAACACAGGTCACGCGAGGTGCTGGCAGAACAAACGATTGTGCAAGCGAGCCCACTGAATGCAGAGGAGCAGAGGATGGATAAATATCCATCCGGCAGTCTCGCGTCCGACCACACGCGCACGGATTGGTAGTTGGATATAGACGCTGACCAATGTATTCAGCTTTATTGTTCTATCTGCACCACGATCAAAACTATGTTTGAAATATGCCTGTTGCCCACTGAACATTCCTCAGTGCCATGTATACGAGCACGTCGCTGTTATGTTGCTGAGACCAGCAGAGGTCTGGAAGCTTTCCAACAGATGTGGAATTCATTCCCCGCGGTCCATATTACGTTACATCACGTTACGTCGGCAGCAGGCTTCACCAACTACATCACTGCACTGAATTGTACAAGCCGGCACAGCCACCCGTTATGCTGGCTATTAATAAGCCTGCCGCGCGATGAGCAAAAACGACACGAATAATGCAAACAAAGAGAGTACTGCGAGGAATGACGGACACAGGATGCCGATGTTACGATATGGGGAGCGGCTACTGCTGACAACAGGGCTTGCTGCCAGGCTTTACGGCCCGCTTAACAAGGTGCATTGAGGACAGATCACGGAGCGATAAACAGACACGTACAGGGGTGACAGTGGCAAAACACGCCTAACGTAAACGATGGATGAGCTTCACAATGCCGTTTTCGTTTTCGAGCCTTCTTAAGTTCACCTCCACTTAATCCAGGGTCCTGGTGTTTCTGAAAGCCGTTGGAGCTTGCTCTACATGCCGCTGGCACACTACTTGCCGATGTTTTCAGTCACCATAAAAAACATCTTGGAAACTGAGCTTATCGAGGTACGGGAAACAACTCGTGGTAAAGCAGGACAGTGCCTCCCGTATCTGTGGCTGCACATCTGACACGTGGCCGCCACGCGACGCGAACACGCACACTAAGAAACCAGTCGATAATCATGACACCATGTTGACAGCAGTCGCACAGGTGTTCACACCCAATACCCAACACCTGCATGGTAAATATGGCCTAAGACTGTCTCTGTACCTCAAAAGACAATCTCACCTTTGAGGCCTATTAAAAACCTGCACTGAAAACTTACGACTGGCAATAACTTGCAATACCATCCAAATGTTCCCCGGCATCGGGCAACGAGACATCACATCGCCCCATCACAATCAGGACGAACAAGCGAACTACTTAAATCCATTTACAACCCCAATACAACTCAGTTACAGCTGTGGACACCACTAACCCCACTGGGCGAAAGTGACATTTTTGACGACTCGAAGGTATTTGCCATAAACTGCCATTCACATACGTACTAACCTTTAAGACAACTACAAGGTATTTGCTGCAAGCTGTACTTCCACATGACCGACATAGCGTCATTCAAAAATGCTCTGGTCTCATGCTCTACCAAAGCTATTTTCACAACAGCCATGGCCGGCTCGACGGTTTCCATACCGACTCATGCCCGAGTTCGCCGCATTGAAACATGGTGACCTTTCCAGCGCGCCTTTGTAAAGGTGCTAATCTCCAGCACACAAAGCCACATCTCAAGTGAATGTGACAGACTGGGCGACGTAGAGAATGCTTACGACTGCCCTCCTCGATCGGGTTAGCTACTACAGACTGTCACGTTGCTTATCAAGGTAACAATTCGGGACCAATTCGGCTTACAGACAGTTACTATGCGGAACGTGACTGAAACTTCCGCGGCACCGCATTTATCCACTGGGTCCCACGAGCGCGGGCAACCGCACGCTCCCCGGGCCGAGTCACACGGGAACAGGCTCCGCCTCTAAACACGAGCCATCACCGGAAGGCGTATTAAAACGTCCGACAAGGCTCTCGTCTGGAAGCGACGTGTGTCCCGGCAAACTCCCACCAAAGTCAGCTGCTTTTTTCCCACATGACTCCCACAGCGAAGTGCTTTGCATTTCGCTCCCTGGACGACCTCCACTGCGGAGAATGGACTCCTCAGCACTCGCCGAGCTCTCACGTATAACTTGGTTGCATTCATAGACGTGCCCAATCAGTCCTGTCGCCCTCCATGAACACTGTCGTGCGGTCCTTTTCGCGACGATGCACGAAAACGAAACAGTAAAAAACCGGAAACTATTGTCGTCATTCTCTGAAACCCGCCAGCGACCGGGCGTGAGCACCCGCCACAAATCGTGATCCAGCCCCTGTGGCACCGCCCTGACTGCGACACGACAGATGACAACCTTGTAGCGCGAGCCTCAGAGCCCGACCCTGAGACCCGGAGTGTTACCCCGCTTGCCTTCCACCGCCAGCTGGGGCGCACCCGCATGACCCGTGCCAGCCGCACCGGCTCCGACACAGCCCCAGCCGACGGCCACCCCAGCAGGGGAGCCCCACGCAGCTTCAGCCGGCGCGCACCACTCACAGGGGAGCCCCACGCAGCTTCAGCAGGTGCGAACCACTCACAAGGGAGCCCCACGCAGCTTCAGCAGCCGGCACCACTCACAGGGGAGCCCCACGCAGCTTCCGCCGGCGCGAACCACTCACAGGGGAGCCCCACGCAGCTTCAGCCGGCGCGAACCACTCACAGGGGAACGTATTCCGCTTGCCGTCGGCGCCGATCAGGACGTCGAACTGGAAGCGGGCAGCCGGGTGGTCAGGCGGGCTGAGCCGGGCGCGCCAGCCGGTCCGCTCGTCGGACGGCTCCACCAGCTGCTCGAAGCCGACGTTCTCGTGCAGCTCCACGCCCAGCAGCAGCGCCACCTTCAGCAGGATACACTGCAGCTGGCGGATACCTGCCGGTCGGCGGCACGCGGTGTTACGTGCGTCACCTTCAGCCATCTCTGAGAAGGGCAGGAAAGGGCAAGTCTGCGTCCCTCGCATGTTCGCTTCGCCTTGGAAATGGGGCCGGCAACATGTTCCAGTGCATCAGACAAGCGTTGCATAAGCGTCACAATATCCCGTTTTCTTTCGCAATAATTCAATGTCAACAATCTGCAACAACAAGGACGGAGGCCGTCGCCGATCAACAGTATGGCGATGACTCATTCGGGCATTACAAAGCTTTCGGCCGGGTGGGCGAGGCGCGCTGTCTAGGCTGAACTGTGAGCGGGGGGGGGGGGGGGGGCATGTTTTTGCGTCGACGGTTCGTACGGCAGGACACCTCGCGCCTAAATGTCCTGTTGGACAAGCCCTGGCCCGGCTCGACCCGGCACGCGACGGGACCACCCGACCCACGTCTCATGCTCGAAGGTGTGTGGGTGCTTTAGCTAGCTGGCCATGGCATTGACAGTTAACTTTTTCTCATGTCATCCGTAAAGGCAGTTGCCAGATCAAGGATAAGGGTGGGCGTTCATGCAAAGCTGGTGCAACTGGCCCCTGGAGCCGATTTGCTCAAACAACAGGAGGCCATGCAAATGTATCCCATTGTGACCCAATGATTCGCCATTCTGCCGCCACAGCCAAGGAGGCGGCGATGGTCCCCCAAAGACAACACTGCGAACGGGCATCGTCTCCCCCGGCCGTGCTTGTTCACTGCACCAGGCACTGTTGCATCTGTGCGCGTGGCGCGGACGCGGCCCGACGAGCTGAGAACGGCCGGTACAGACGGCCGCCTCCGGCGTTCCGGTCCCGCCTGTCGCTCTTCTCCCACAGCCACCGCGCTGATGCTCGGGCGCGGCCTTTCGTGACCCCTGTTGATGTGCTGACGAGCACTCCCACCGCGCCGAGGCGCAGCCGGCTTTCCGGGAACTTCGCTGATTTATGGGCAGGGAGGGGGAGGGTGGAGGGGCTTCTGACAGAGCGCTCACCGTGACCCCGGGGTATATCGGGCCGTATCAAAACACACGGAGCTAAAAGCGCACCGTCCACACGGGCAGGGTTAGAAGGGATACGTCAGGCCCGTTTGGATGCCAAGGCGAGGCACAACAGCCGGAGGGGCCGGAGCAACGGGCTTGGGTCTGCTGCATCATCAGGTGCGGACGACTGCCGTGTTCGAGACAGAAACTGGTTTTCCATTTTGCTACATCGTGTAAGCCTCGTGTGGTGGAAATGTTGCACGGGAGTGGTGATGAACAGATAGGCACGCTTGTCGGGCGGTTGTGTTCCAGTTAGACCGCCATGGGTTCTTATAAGATAAGAGAAGATCAAATGAAGATTGTTCTCAAGTGAGAACATCACTTTACACTCCAGGCGGAGCGTGCTCCATGCATTCGTACATCGGTATCAGATGCGCTTCAGACGAACGACAGGCTGGCAGTGAGGCAGCGCGTTCGTTGGCACAGATCTCCCAGCAGCAGAGATCATTGCATGCGATGCAGTGACTTCGTCAGAGCCTGCCTCTGACCCGTGCCGCGCTCTTCGCGCCGTCCCCCTCTACAGAGCCTCGCCGCCACCCCCGGAGGCCGGCCCCTCCAGCGACGTGGGCGGACCGTGCCAGGTGCAGCCGGTCGAGCGCTGGCGACAGCCCAGCGCCTCCTTTACGGGAGTCCGACAGGTGTGTGCATTAGCAGTTGTCTGGTGACCGTCGGGGCAGCGTCACCCTCCGATCTAGCGACCCACTGACACCGTGGCCCGTTTACCGCGCCCTGGCCGCGGACAGCAGCACCTCACAGACGCTCAAGAACAACGCAGAGTACATACGCGACCCTTCGCGCCGCTCGAGGTACCTGTGCCACCAGCTGCGCTGCTGTATACATGCCGTCCATCGCGCCCAGCCCGGCTCCTGCAGCCCGGACTGGCCAGGTCAGAGGGGGCGCTCGTCACCGCTGATAAGCGGGGCGTTGGCGACGTCTCTCAATACGATCGGCGGCACACAGATCGCCCCGTCTCCCGACCCAGCGAGGCGCCAGCGAGGAGAGATGGAGCGAGGGGGTGGGGGAGGCGCAGGACACGCTACCGACACCCGAACCGCGGCGATCATGTTACGGCAAACACAACTGTCGCAGCCGCCGCAATCCGCCATGCTCACGTTAACCGGGAAACCGAAACACGGTCGGTGGTGCGCCCAAACGGAGGCTATCCGTCCTGACGCCAGCATTGGGCCATTAGGCCATTAGGCCATTAGGCCATAGGCCACGAGCATTAGGCCACGAGGACGCCAGTCGGCGGGCCGCGTTCAGACCGGGCTCGTGTCCGACGCTCCCCAGCGCGCTTCGGCTTGTGAAAGACCGAGCCTCAGCGCTATCCATCAGCGTCTGACCGTGACCTGCAGCAGCAGACCGCCAGGACGACCTCGCCATCTCGGCACCAGCCGGCGGACGTGAGCGGTCGCCGGCGTCGGGACAGTCCGGAAACACCTGGCGGCTGGTGGCGGCCCGTTGCCGCTTAACTCGGCCGTGGGCGCAGCGTGTCCACGTGCCAAGGGCGCCCCGCCCCCTCCCCTCCCCCCACAGCTGGTGGCCGGCGGCCGAGACGCCAACAATCACACGCTGGTTGCGTCTCAGTCGGGGGCCGGAGGAGCGCCTGCACTGTGCGCATGCACTGCGCCCGACTAGAGACGAGAGGTCAGCAGAGGTCACCGTCAGAGACCGACGGTGACGCGATGACCAGAGGAGCAGCCGATGGGCATTGATTGACGCGACGCACAGCATGCCGTGATCGACACGCACACAATGAAAACAAGGATCACACAATGCGTCCATCAGTGAAAATCAAATTCTGGTACCAAATCTGCCGCACCCACTTAGGCTGCGGAAACCGCGAGTCTCAGCATCGACCCTGTCCCCATCGGCCGAGCCTGACCGGGTGGCCGGCGCCGGCAGCCGACTGCGGGACGGCTGTCTCGCGGCGGCCGGGGAGGGTGGCCGCGGCGGCGGCTGACTCAAGCGGCGCCGGTTGCTCGCCGGCCCGCCGAGCCGCCTCCGGTGATGCCGGCGGACCCACGCCGGCTCCCGGATGCGGCTGAGTCACCAGCTATCTCTGTATTTGCTGAAGCCGCCCCCGCCGGGCGGACAGCACAGCTCGAGACGCCAGCCCTCCTCGGCAGAGGCGTATCTCTGATGCAACACAACACAGATAGCCGTATCTGCGTGGCGTACATTCGTATAAACATGCGACGGAGATAACAGCACGATCGCTTTAAAGACCCGTGAGTCCCCGTGCATTCCCGTCGCATAAAAAACTACGTTGGTATCAGCAGCTCAAAAAATGTTTACCCAGAGTAGCAGCCAACGAATTGAAGCTCTTAACATGACACATACATGATGGTATCCCACGTCGCGACAAGCCGCTATCTCCCAAGAACCACCTGTTGCAACATCACAAACCCACGGATTTTGCCTGGCCACCACGCCGCCGAGCCAGGCACACGGTGAAAGCCGGGTCGGAGTTATTGAACACCAGGCCCAATGCTCGGTTGGCACTCGCCGCGGCACGCAACACACGGAGGTCACGTACTCACACTTCATCACGTGCACGGGCTTGAAATGCACATCGGCTTTGATTTCACGCCGCCACGAACGCGCTTTGTCACGGCGAGGCTGGGTAAGTCTGGTCTCAGGCCGTAAAGGCTAACATAACAGGTGATAACACTGCCGGCACGTCTGTGTCAAGGCATGCTACGTCGATTACGGCTTAAACATCGTGTATGTTACCTTGGGTCAATGCGTGAGTACCGTGTACTGCTGTATCCTGTTGACTTAAAACATGAGGCACATCCGATGTCCGGAAGACAATGTTGTATCCTTCATAGGTCCTGTGCCGAGTTGGCATGTCGTATCCTCAAATCTCTCCATCTCTCCGATCAATTCAGAACCTACATCAACTGGCGATGATCGTGACACGTAAAAGTCCAAAAGTACCAAAACTGGGGGCGCCATCTCAGACGAAGGGGCCAGCCGCGTGTAAACAGTCGCTGACCGCAGCACCTCGCTATCAGCAGCAGTGCGTCATTCGCCGATCGATTCACAGCTTCTGCTCCGCTCCCAACGTATGCAAACGGCGCCGGGTGCCGAGTGGGCCACGAGTGAGGCAACCACTAGACGGCGGCTCCTTGGACACAGCGGGCCGCTGCAGCGCGTACTGGGCCGCGCGGGGTGACTGAGCCCGTCAGCGCGCGTCAGCTGTGCCGACATGACGCCTGTCGACGGTCGCGGGCAGCTGAGCCAGGCGTTGCGACCGACCTTTGCGCCGTGCCAAGCGTGTCTACGATAAATCGAGGCAGACTGTGCGGCACCACACGGTGACAGGCGTTGAAAGGGTGTCGAATAGAATTTCGCGGTCGCTATAACGTTCGTAGACAGTACCTATGCGTATCTGCGTAACCGTTGGCTTGAGTGAGTGGCCGTGACTGCGCCAGCAGTGGGTGAGTTCAAACCGTCTGCGGTAGTGTTCACAGCTCCCAGCAGCCCCACAGCCGGCCGAACCAGCGCGTCATGCGTATGGCGCAAACACGACGACAGACGGCATCGCCAGCAGAAATTCAGGTACATGTGATCGAGCGCGCGCTGGCGCCCGGGGAATCCTAATGAGCTTTCGCCACATTTAATCAAGATTACACACATACGACCATTGTAAGTGATCTTCTAGCCGCGAACGCCCCGGCGGTGAAAGATGCAGCATTGCTGAGCTGTTTGCCGCGGCCGTGGGGACCCCGCCGTCAATGTGGCGTTAGTGCCGGACCACGGCGAACACTATGGAACCTCCCCCATCAAGACTGTGCGTGTCTCTGATAACAACAATAAGAACGCCTTCCAATGGAAGCGCCAGAGCCTTTCAGGTGACCACTTCATTGCAACAGAGGAAAAGATTCAAATCTTGGAACAACAGCCAATCATGAGCCGCAAAACAAACCGTCCATTGTTGCCAGAACGCGACAGTGACTAGCAAGGCCAGAGGAGAGCGAATAACATGGATTAGCCGTAAGGCATATATTCAGCGCCATGCGCATTGACAATGCACCGGCACCACCCCAGCGCCACGTCATGCGTTCACCACGAGCGAGACCAGGCTGCGGGCTCTTCCGCGAAGCCCATCAGTGCTCAGCAGGCGTGACCTACGCTGGCCCCGCCCCCTCCCCCTCCCCCAAGGTCGACTCACTGATGTGGTCGATGGCACCGGCGCAGAACTTGCCGAAGAACTTCTTGGCGCCGAGCGCCTTGAGGTCATGGATGACCATGGGCCAGAGGTGGAGGACGTTGTTGCGGCTGAGCCGGTCCCGCTTCTCGACCACCATCACCCGGGCGCCGAGCAGCTGGGCTTCGATGGCGGCCCGCAGACCGCACGGACCGGCACCAAATCACCAGCACCTGGAGTACAGACCGGACCGTCAGCCTGACAATCACTCACCAACAGACCGCACGGACCGGCACCAATCACCAGCACCTGGAGTACAGAACAGACCGTCAGTCTGACAATCACCACCAACAGACCGCACGGACCGGCACCAATCACCAGCCTGGTACAGACCGGACGTCAGCCTGACAATCACCACCAACAGACCGCACGGACGGCACCAATCACCAGCACCTGGGGTACAGGCCGGACTGTCAGTCTGACAATCACCACCAAAAGACCCCACGGACCGGCATCAATCCCCAGTATAGGTGCTGATTGGATTCCAATTTCTTAGAATTTCAACAAAGTCCAATGTGGAAATTGGACGGACAGGGGCAGAGATCTTCTTTTTTTTGGACAGCCGACATAATTATGTCGTGTAACACATTGGTATATTAAGGCCCTCTAATGCAGAAGCAGATTAACTACCCACGATCACTTCCTTTCTTTCTAGATTCGGGCGAGGGTACGAGCGAAGCGAGGGGTGACTCAGATCATTGG